AGGTGATTCTGTACCAATCCCCCTGCCATTCCCCCATATTAACCCCCTAGCGCTTCCCTTCCCACCCATGCAAGTACTAAGCTCCCTTTTCACCTTCTGACAGGGGTGCAGGAAGGGGGGTGCAGTCCGCCCCGGGTGTCATCCTGAAGGGAGGTGACATTCGGCGCACCCACCCCCCGCCCACGACTCCCCCAAGCCCAGTGAGCGGCAAAGTGGCAAGTGGTGAAGCAGCAGCTGCAGCTCTCTCCCCCCCCCCCGGCTCGCTGTAGGCTTGGGAGTCGCGGAGGGTGCACCAAATGTCACCCCCCTTCAGCCTGAATGGGGGTGACATTCGGCACCCCCTGGGGAGGATCGCTGTCCTGAGATCAGCCCCCGGGGAGCTCCGCCACTGTCTTCTGAATCACGTTTCTGAAACCGCTTGTCTCTTCTATTCTGCAGCCCCACTTTGCACCCTTGTTTTCCCCTTCTCCCCCATACCCATGCTTCCTTCTTCCCCTCCTTTTGTGAAAGCCCTCCCCTTGCACAGACCACCCCCCTGGTAATCTCTTGCATTTTCCCTCCCACACACTGCAACTACTGTACTAAGGACTTTTTTCAGCTTCTGCCCAGTTATAAAGCCACCATCCTCTCATTTTCTTCAGACCCTTTCATGCCCTTGCTTTCATTTGCAATGCCATGCCCATGCCTCCTACTCTGCCTTTGTACCCCCATTTTCACCTTCACCCCCATTTTTTCCTCCACCAACCTTGTTACTTTTCTCAACTCTGCCTTGCACACAGATCACCCCATTTCCATACTACTCTCTCTCTCTCCTATTGTGTAGCCCCCTTTGTGCACACACCCTATGCTGATATATCTTTCAAGGTGGATAGAGTCTTAAGAACAAGTCTGTTAGCTACAACTCAGTTGATGGATATGGTAAGAGGGAACACCACTCCTCCTCCCCCCCACTCGTGCCTTCCCCTTCTTGCTCGCATGCCATGGCTACTGTTGTGCAACCTGCCTTCACTTTTTCCTCCCTTACCCTACCCTGACTTTGTGCAAATCCAGGATTGTGATGAGGCACTTCAAATCCTCCCCATGGAGGCTGTGTGATGACAACCTCACTTTTTATGTATATAGGAAGATATACACTGAAGCTTTAACTTCACAGTTATTATTGTATGTGAACACACCCATTTACGTTTATGTCTGCTAACTTGTTAAAAAAAACACATTCTCCGTGCAGAGAAAAATTACCTTGTATGGAAGAATACTGCCACTGCTTGTTTGTTTCTTTCTGCATGAATTCCAAAGAGAAATGAATCCCAGTTTTGTTAATGCTGTGGTGAAAAGACAGTAATTATTACTTGCAGGGAAAAACAGGTTTTATTTCCAACAACACAGTTATTTTGTTCTGATCGCACAGTCAGTCCCTCACGTGCTTCCTTTCATGTGCTGCAGTGCCAAGAGAGATCACACAAATGCACACACCCCTGAAACTGTATGTGTTAATGGCTGGGGGAATAGTGTCTGGACTTGCAAGTATACAGACTAAAGTACTTCTTTTCCTCACTATAAGCTAACATAACATAATATAACATAATCTTATAGGCTGATGTTCTTCTGTGAAACACTTGCTTAAGTGTACATATATCCTACCCTTGCTCCATGTAGCTAAATGCTGTGAACATGGTTCTCTCCCCCTTCCCCAATTTTACCTGTGAAGTAGGCTATGCTGAGAGACATTGAGTGGCCCATGATCATCCACTGAGCATCTCGACTGAGTGAAGATTTGGACCCTGGTCCTAGGTCTGACACTTCAAGTTCCTTTTGCAGTTGATGCTTGCAAAATACAGCCTTCCTCCTCGCTCCCCAATCAGCTGGTGTGGAGTGGAGAAAGAAATGTTTTGTCAGCCCAATGCTCACCACTTCTGAAAGCGTAGGGCTAGGAATGCTCCTTGTGCTGTGGTTCCCAAGCAAATGACAGCCAGGTGAAATCCCACACAAGGGTTTTTGAGAGTGTCAGAATTTACCCACAGGAAGTCAAAAAGGTTCTCTCCCCCTAGTCTAACTACTGGTATGAAATCCACCACACATATTAGAAATATGCTTTGCTTGGAATCTCCTTACTGTATCTGAAAATCCAAAATAGTTGAGAAGCAGGGCCAACCCTTCTGTTGTGTAGGGGGAGATATTTATCCCTCCAGGGCCTTATTGAGTAGCTAATATGGAATTATGGAAGAAGTGCCAAAGGAAGCCAGGATCCAAGCACCATGTATGTACATGCGTGGATATTGGTCCAGCTTCCAGGGTCAGAGGTTGATGGTTGTTCTTACTGACCTCCATCCTTGGCACTGTCTTGCATCCTGCTTTTGGGGATCACCTGACCTCCAGGAGCAGCTGTTCCAGACGATGTGTGGTATTCTGTGGTGCAAGAGGCAGCAGTAGAAAGAGAAGTCCGGATAGGAAGAGCTATTCTTTTGGGCAGGTCCAGAAATGGGCTATTTGGGGTCCAATACATAAGTTTCATTAATAAATATAAAACACCATGAGTGCCACACAAGTCCTTCCAGAATTGTGGTAAAGGCAAAAAGGAAAAGTGTCTTTATTCACCCAATGATTTTACAACCGCAGGGGGCCGTAGCAGAAAATGGATTATAGCACTTCCTTTACCATGTGAAAATTAAGTGACAAAGAACAGTATTATGCATTGATTCCACTTGCCACAGTTCATGCTTTGTGGATTATAAAATGTCATATAATGATCTGCTGCGCTATAGTGCAGCATGAGAAAATTAGATTATTTCCTCTATCGCCGCCACCACCACTCTAATCACATGCACCTCTGTCCAGATGCAAGAGGTGACTTAGCACCAAATGACCAAGGACGTTTTGCAGCAGCTGTGAAATCTCCCAACTGGGTAGTGACTCTGACAATATCCCAGAGACAGATGCTGCATCAGGGAAGACCTAGTTTTCAGCTCTCTGTACACTTTAATTCCTGGCTTGATAGCTGTTCCTTGCCCCAGGAGTTACAGTCTTGATGACATGTTTTAAAATACTATCTGACATCTCTGCTTACTTGAAGCCTTATCATTCAGCATTAAGGCACCATTGCTAAGGAGGCTGATATTAACATAAATAGATTATAAACTCAAAGCATACCGTCATGTTGAGATACTCTTCTCTTCATTAATTAAAGGCAGGGTTTTCCGAAATGTGTTGTAACCAAGATCTAGAATTTCCTCTGGCCCGTTATCTTGAGAGACAAGCACCTGGCTTCACAAGGAATTCCAGGATGTTTCAGCCTACATCCTTGCTACATTGGCACCTTCATGAATCACTGTTTCTTCACACTTCAGAGTTGACATAGGGAGAAGGGTTGTAACTCCATGCTACAGCCACAAGTTTTGCCCGGTGAAAGTCCTGAGGACTGAGACAGGCCCACATCTGAAACCCTGGGAAACCACTGTCAGTCATTGTCAACAATACTGAGCTAGATGGGGAAATGGATCAACTTAGTATAGGGAAGCTTCATGTGAATATGGGGAATATATTTTTATTACAGTTGTCTTGGAGTGCTAGAGAAGGGGTAGTACCTCTGGTGAGGGACACGTTGTGCTCCTTCTGGGATAGTTTGCCCACCTTTGGTCCCCATCCTACACTCAGCTCTCACCCGTGGCTCCCAGAGGTGCAGGCCCCAGTCTGCTGCACCAGAGCTCCAGAGGTAAGGCGGCACTCCACGTGCCACTTGCCTCGCCTCCTCGGCGCACTGAGCAGTGCCTTACCTCTGACACTCCAGCGCAGCAGCGGCCACTGGACTGTGGCCTGCTGTTCCAGCACAGTGTATTTTAAATACAGATCTCTCTTCTGCTCAGTGATCTGTTTATCTCTAACATGTCTTTCATCAGTTAAATGTCATGGTCTGCCAAGAGTAACGAACAGGCAGTTCCAATCTATCTTTTCCCCTTGCGTCATCTTTTTGCACCTCTCAGACATGTAGATTTCCTAAATGGAGGCATCTTTACTAAATGGATTTGCAATTTACGATGTTGTTGATTTTGCTGCATTTCCCCCAGAAAGGGAAGTCCATGCATTGCAATGATCCCATTTGTTATTTGTGGTGTGATAATTCTGTACTGGTGTTCTTATTTGAGTTGTATCTGAGTAAGTCATATTCACAGCAGACCCACTTAAATCAACGAACCTAAGTAAATCACATCCATTGATTTCATTGTACTTGTTCTGAGCATGACTTGGACAGATGCCACTCTGTGAGAGCCAGTGTGGTGTGGTGGTGGCTAGAGTGTTGTTGTTGTTGTTGTTGTTGTTGTTGTTGTTGTTGTTATTATTAATTTATTTATACCCTACCCATCTGGCTGGGTTTCCCCAGCCACTCTGGGCAGCTCCCAACAGATTAAAAACAGAATAAAACATCAAACATTAAAGACTTCCCTAAACAGGGCTGCCTTCAGATGTCTTCTAAAAGTCAAATAGTTGTTTATCTCCTTGACATCTGATGGGAGGACGTTACAGGGAACCAAGCAGAGAAGGCCCTCTGCTTGGTTCCCTGTAACCTCACATCTCGCAGTGAGGGAACTGCCAGAAGGCCCTCAGAGCTGGACCTCAGTGTCTGGGCAGAACAATGGGGGTGGAGACGCTCCTTCAGGTATACCACGACCTGGGGGACCAGGGTTCAAGTTGCTCATTCTCAGCCTAACCAATCTCACAGGGTTAAAATGGAGAAGAAGAGGAAATATGTACACTTGAGCTCCTTAGAGGAAAGGAGACATCTCAAAGTATTAAATAAAGTAAATGATTATTATGCTGCTTTTCTTTTAAAAAATGGTCTCTTATGAGAAAAGAGCCTTTTTGGTGGTGTTTCAGCTATGGAACATTCTCCCCTTATCAGTTTGCCTGGTGTCCACTTGATGACCTTTGGCTGCTTGGTAAAATGGTTTTCTCTCCCTCCTCCTCATACCTTTAATGATTTTTACACTGACTTTTAGGTGGTTCTCAAGGAGCTGGCTTGAAGAGTGTTTTTGCTGTTTTAATCACATGTTGCAAGATGCTTTGAAAATATTTTATTGAAATGTGAGGTAAAAACCAGGACATGTGCCAAGGCCTATACCCTAGTGAGGGCCGCACTGGAGCCCTCGGTCTATCTGCTGTTCCTCCTCCTTACTGTCCTTGGCTGTTCACCTGAGTTTTTCATGCATGTGAGCAGAAACAGGAGTGGGAGCACTAGATTTGCTCTGCTGGTATGTCTATACAGCACCACCCCTGTCATCCCTTTCTGGTAAGCAGCAGTTACTCTGCTGCCAGGAGGCTATTGCTGTGGCTCCACCCTCCCAGGTGAGGCATTCCTGGCAACAACCTCAGTTTGTCTTGCCCTCTCCTTGGTAGCCATGCATACTGACCTCAGAGGAAGAGTACAGATGAAGAACCAATGTTGACAGTGATGAGGTTCTGCTAGGGACTTTCTGTCCCTTCTCCCCCAGTAACTTAGAGCCGACACTGGTTAAAACAAAACAATTTAGCTAACACAAATTTGGTCTTCTGTGATGAGTAACTCTGTTTTCACCCCCACAGGACATGATGACATTTGTGTTCCTACTGCTTATACTAACAGTGATGCCTTCTTCCATGTTGGCGGTAAGTATTCAGATGTCCTTGTGAGTGGCTGGTTCTGGAGCTCGAGTCAGGTGACGGAGCAAAAGTAAGAAACCATGCTAGGAAGATCAGCACGTGAATGCCATTTATGCAACTTTGTTGGCAGATGGAAAATTACAAATTATCTACAGATTAAAAGAGAATAATGCTACCAACATCTACTGGTCATTATGGCTATATGCTGTCTCCACAATCAGAAGGAGCATACCTCCCTGAATACAAGTTGCTTGGGAAGAATAATGGGGGACGGCTATTGTCTGTGTGGACTTCTTGTGGGCTTCCCATAGGCAACTGGTTGACCAATGTGGAAAACAGGAAGCTGTTCCTATTTAGACTTTTGGTCTGATCCAGCAGGGCTGATTTTAATCTTACTTGTTTAAACAATCACAATTGTTCTAGAAATTGTCGTGGTTTAAGATCAGTGAGTGGGAATTAAGAGAGTCAACAATGTGCTGGAACCTGCCCATTGTAAGTTGGTGGGAGGTCCATCACTAATGTCAAAGAAAGTAGAATGTAATGTATTTCTGAGAAGAGACTGTGGTCCCATCGATATACTATCATCTTTACACAAAATGTATTTTGATCACTTCAAAAATCATTCCTTCTTCATGCCTTACTTTTTTAGGTTTTTAAGAAATGTTGGACATGATACAGCCCAGGTTAAGCATGGTGGTCTTAAAACCCTCTAATTTGAATAAGTGTGATGCTAAAGTACTTAACTCTGCAACATGACCAATTATATGTATCGCCTTGCAGGACCAGGTGTCAGGTTCCCCATACCCCAACCCAATGGGCAAGGGGCGGGTCTGAGGGAAGCCCACCGTTGGCTCCACCCCCTGGCACAGCCTAAGTCCCAGCCCTCATCCCCATTTGCCAAAGCAGGGTGCAGGCTAGGATCCGGTTCCTGATAGGCGCATGCAGGGAGGGGTTCTCTTATGACTGTTTTTTGGCCTCATTTCAGCCTCAAATATTAGTTCTAACTGAGCTGTTGGGGTTGGGCAATTTCAGACTGCTGGTGGAGGACTTAAATGATTGAATGCTCTTTCTTAAAACACACACAGAGAGAATTAGATGTCCCCACCACCACCCAAAAGCCAATTGCTCTTTACCTTTGCCCCAGAATAAATACCAAATTCTGCATCAATGCATAGTACATGCATTGTACTATGGCACCAGAGTTTGCCTTCAAAGACACCCAGTTAGCATAATCTAGACTCCCTGGTTTTTGGATGGGAACCAGGGCAAAAACTGATGCAGTACTGGCTCTTATTTCTGCCATAGCTGTTGACAGAAGAATTACAGTTTTTAAAAAAACCATGTTTATTGTATATTTATATTTGAGTGCATTGCAGCGCCAACATTTATCAGCTTAGATTACCTTTACTTTTTAGGTATTGACTATTCTGCACCTGACATTTGAAGATTAATACACTGCTATTTAGTATGCTACTTTGTATTCCTGTTTCATCTTCTGTTTCATCTTCTGCTGTCAGTATTTTATTTATCTTCCCTTGCCCAGGAGGTTCCTGTTTTGTACAAGTGCATTTCCTTGATAACTGTGGAGTTATTATGCATATTAAAGATACTTATCCCATTTCACCTTGAAAGCTTTTTACAAACAAGCTGTCTCACTGAGGCAATGAATCAGGAGTTACAGAAATGATTACAAGAAATGATTTATTCCTTCATGGGCTAAGTGCTTTGAGCCTTCCCTGCACAGGACACACATGTTGACTATTTTAATATTGCAATAGATGAGCTTGTATCCCACCTGCATATCTCTTGATATAAAGATTGGATATGTTGTGTTACTGAGCATCTGGCATGCCTCTTTGCAGTCTCAAAAATATTCTAAAAGGGTTATTAGCATTTGTTTGTTTATTTTCCTGGTACTATTTTCCTGCCCTAAGTCTTCACTGTTCCAAACCTTTCATATTGCTTAAGACTGGAATTGGACAGGAGAGGGTAAATGGTCAGGGCACTACTGAAGATTGCTTCCGTAGCCCTGACAAAGTTGCCAAACACCTTCCTTTTGTTCTCATTAGCTCTCCTTCTGAATGATTAGGAAATGCCTGAAATATCTGCAGTGAGATTCTTACTCTCTCTTCTAAACATACTTGTGATCTCCAAGCACATTAAAACTTGGTTAGATTTACATCTGCCACCATCCACCTTTGAATAAATGTTCCTCACAAAAATTCTTAGGTTAGAGTAAATCACAGATACTTAGCATTGCAAATAAGTTTATGTTTTATTCACAGAGTTTCCAGAAGTTACATCAGACAAGTGTCTATCCATCGGCAGTAAAACAAAAATGGAAAAAAAAGTTTCCAAATGGTTTATAAAGAAAATAACTTCATTTCCTTACGAAAAAAGAACATGTAATCAGACTAGCAAAGATCCAGGCTTTAACACCTCCCTTTGGGAAAGATTGAGTTCACTTAGTTTTTCTTGTACAGTAGTTGGGAGCCATAGCCACATGGCTCCTTGCTTGTTCCAAGAAGCATGAAGAGAAGGAAAAGGGACAGAGCATGCTAAGCCACTGGCAACCTGAGCTCAGGTTAACCTTTTCATGTGTGCAAGTGTGAGTCAGTGACTGTATACAACATATATATTGTCCCCTTCCCTACCCATGGGGATGTTGTCATCTGGGTATCTGTGAATAAAATAAAAACAGACAAAGAGCTGAGTTTGGGCTCTGTAAGCATCTGATCTGACACGGGTGGCACTGTGGGTTAAACCACAGAGTCTAGGACTTGCCAATCAGAAGGTCGGTGGTTCGAATCCCCGCAACGGGGTGAGCTCCCGTTGCTCAGTCCCTGCTCCTGCCAACCTAGCAGTTCGAAACACGTCAAAGTGCAAGTAGATAAATAGGTACTGCTCCGACGGGAAGGTAAACGCCGTTTCCGTGTGCTGCTCTGGTTCGCCAGAAGCGGCTTAGTCATGCTGGCCACATGACCCGGAACCTGTACACCGGCTCCCTCGGCCAATAAAGCGAGATGAGCGCCGCAACCCCAGAGTCGGTCACGACTGGACCTAATGGTCAGGGGTCCCTTTACCTTTAAGCATCTGATCTGATACAGGAGCACTGGTCCTAGGTATATTTTTAAGTAACCTCCAGGGTGAATTACTGCACTGTGTTCTATGTGGGACTGCCCTTGAGTTTGGTCTGTCTGCTGCAGCTGATGCAAATGTGGTGGCTCAGCTGCTCACTGGTGCTGGATTATCGCCAACTTGTTACTTGAGCCTTGAAAGAATTGCACTGGCTGTCATTTGGCTACCAGTCTAAGTTCAAGGTGCTGGTTTTGGTTTATAAAGCCCTCTGCAGCTTGGGACCAGGATACCTGAAAGTTCATCTCATGCCTTGTTTACCCAGTTGATCACCTGACTCTGCAGGCAAGAGCCTCTTGCAGATACCATCTTATCAGAAAGTCTGTTCCACACAATGTAGGATTTGGGCCTTTAGTGTTATGGCAGTCATGCATTGGAATTCCCTCCCCTTGAATATTAGACAGCTGCTGTCTCTGTTGATGTTTTGGTGCCTGCTGAATACCTTCCTCTTCCAACAAGCCTTTTAAATTTATATTTTTCCTAGTCTGCATCTGCATTAGAATTGTTTTAAATAAGCTTTTACTGTTTTCCCCCTTGTTGTTTGCTGCCCTGGACTCCTTTGAGAGATACACACACACACACACACACAAAACACACCCACAAACACACACACAATGCCAATAAGCCTCCAGTGATCTCCCTGCAAAGGGAACCAAATCTGGACATATCTTGTGCCCAGGGACATGTCACCACAGTGAGTGTGAGAAGTGGATTGAGAAGGCGGGTCGGTGTAACAATATCTTCATTATTGCTCATAATCTTGGGATTATTTGCCAGCAGCACAGTTTGTACCAGAGCAAAGTCAAGCCTAGTAATTGGATTACTTGGTTTGTTAAGCTGTAGTGATACTAATTGTAGCATCACTAGCTTTCTGAGAAGGGTTTTTCAAGGCTGCCATATGAAATTCTATTAAACACCTCTGTCAGAGCTGCTTCCAGATCCTAGCTCACAGAGGATCACGCTAGCCAGCGGTCACTTGTAAAAGTCTTTTATTGAGTTACAGTTTCCATTCTCAAGCTGCTGCGTGCAACTCTACGTCTTATGGCTAGACCGGCGAAGCTCCGTCTGAGTCTCCGCCCCCTGTACACCAACTTAATACCCTAGCCTTACTCCACCTTTTCCGCCTGACTGTTCTTCTCTGGGTCCCTCTGCCCCCCGGGGTCTCTTCCTTCCGGGACTCTTCTGACGCTGACCCCCCGGACCCTTCTGTCTCCTTGCGTCGGGCTTTAGGACCTGGCTCCCTTTCCGGGCTGCTCACTGCGCCACCTTCCTGTGCATTTGAACTTGGCGCGCGCGCCCAACCTTCCACTTTCCGTCTGACCGTTTCTTCGCTCCCCGATGGAGGTGTGGCCACTCCTGACTCGTGCCCTCCCTCCTGTTGTGAGCTACCAGCGCTTGATACCTGGCGCCCTTCCTCTCCCCTGCTCTCTGTGGGTGACGCTGGTCCCGATTTCCCACTGCTCCCCTCTGAGCCCCCTCTGGCCCTTTCTTCCTGGGGTGTCCCCCTAGTCCCCCCCCTTGCCCTGGCCACTGGTGCTCCTTTCTGTGAATCGTCTGATTCACTGGAAAGACTCGGAGATCTCGGGTCGTCGTCATCACTCATTTTCTCTTCTGCCTCCTCCCCCTCACTCTCTGTTTCCTCCCTTGCCCTTGCCTCTGCTCCTGAACCCCTGACAACCTCCTTCTCCATAAAACTCAAAAGATCACCTTCTAAATGCATTTGTATCTATAGTGCAGTCTGATGAGGGGAACAAGCAAAATACCGGGCAGAACTCTGGAAGTAATTAGGAGTAAATTAGGTGACTTGGTATTAATTTCCAAAACAAAAAAAATTCCTTCCAGTAGCACCTTAAAGACCAACTAAGTTAGTTCTTGGTATGAGCTTCGTGTGCATGCACACTTCTTCAGATACACTGAAACAGAAGTTGCCAGATCCTTCTATATAGTGAGAAGGTGGGGAGGGGTATTACTCAGAAGGGTGGTGGGAATGGGTGATTGGCAGATAGCTGTGATGAGCCTGTTGACGACTCTTAACGACTGCAATAGGTCTTACAGGAAAAAGCAAGGGGTGAGAAGGTGAAAAATGGCTTTGTCATGTATAATGAGATAAGAATCCAATGTCTTTGTTCAGACCAGGTTAGAATTCTTGATGTCAGATTTATGTCTGTTTATTCTTTGGCGTAAGGTTTGGCCTGTTTGTCCAATATAGAGAACTGAAGGACACTGTTGGCATTTGATGGCATACACAATGTTAGACGATGAGCAATTAAATAGTCCCGAGATGGTATGTGTGATGTTGTTGGGGCCAGTAATGGTGTTGTCCGGGTGTATGTGGCAGCAAAGTTGGCATCTGGGTTTATTGCAGGCTCTGGTGCCAGTGTCCGTGTTAAGTCTGGTTGTAGTATTATTGTGGGTTAGGAGTTGTTTAAGATAAACGGACATAAATCTGACATCAAGAATCACAAGACAGAGAAACCAGTAGGAGAACACTTCAATCTCCCAGGACATTCTATACAAGATCTCAAAGTAGCTGTTTTACTACAAAGGAATTTCAGAAATAGACTGGAAAGAGAAGCTGCTGAATTGCAACTCATTACCAAACTTAAAACCATGGAGAGACCTGGTCTGAACAAAGACATTGGATTCTTATCTCATTATACATGACAAAGCCATTTTTCACCTTCTCACCCCTTGCTTTTTCCTGTAAGACCTATTGCAGTCGTTAAGAGTCGTCAACAGGCTCATCACAGCTATCTGCCAATCACCCATTCCCACCACCCTTCTGAGTAATACCCCTCCCCACCTTCTCACTATATAGAAGGATCTGGCAACTTCTGTTTCAGTGTATCTGAAGAAGTGTGCATGCACACGAAAGCTCATACCAAGAACTAACTTAGTTGGTCTTTAAGGTGCTACTGGAAGGAATTTTTTTTGTTTTGACTATGGCAGACCAACACGGCTACCTATCTGTAACTGGAACTATTAATTTCCAGTACGCTTGGACAGACTTTTGAATAAAAGTTCAGCAGTTAATTCAGCAGGTTCTTGGTGATTTCTGGTTGCCATCTTCTGGAGCAGGGGTAGCCAACATGGCGCCCTCCAGATGTTGCTGGACCACAACTCCCATCATCCCTGCCCATTTGCCATACTGGCTGGGTCTGATGGGAACTGGAGCCTAATAACATCTAGAGGGCACCATGTTTGGTGCCTTGGCTCTAGAAGTCATGTTTTTTCAACCTGGAACACTTTATATTTTCAACCTGGAACACTTTATATTTAAACAAGATCTGGCATCTAATCAGAAAATGGACCAAGAAGTCACTAAATTAACAACAACATAAGCCCTGTATGAACTTTGGTCGAATTCAAACATTTAAGATGCAAAATTAAACTCTATGCTCTGCTAGATGGTTTGTAGATGTTTAATCTTCCTGTACTTTGTGGTGAACCATCGTATATACTCTTAGCAAGAAAGGGGTGCTTTTTTCTTTTTCTTTTTTTCCACCCCTCCGCAGTGACCACAGGTAAAAAGGTAAAGGTAAAGGGACCCCTGACCATTAGGTCCAGTCATGAACGACTCTGGGGTTGCAGCGCTCATCTCGCTTTAGTGGCTGAGGGAGCCGGCGTACAGCTTCTGGGTCATGTGGCCAGCATGACTAAGCCACATCTGGCGAACCAGAGCAGTGCACAGAAACGCCATTTACCTTCCCGCCGGAAGGTATCTACTTGCACTTTGACGTGCTTTCGAACTGCTAGGTTGGCAGGAGCTGGGACCGAGCAATGGAAGCTCATCCCGTCACGGGGATTTGAACCACCGACCTTCTGATCAGCAAGTCCTAGGCTCTGTGGTTTAACCCACAGCGCCTCCTGCATCCGTGACCACAGGTACATACTTGCAAATTCCTTACCAAGCCCGTCTGTGTGCCTGTAATCAGGGAGTACCAGATTCACTGGGCCATATTCTTTTGGACTGCCCTTTGCACAATAGACTCCGCAAACAGATGCTGACCTGCAACCCACGTCTCCAAGAGAAAGCTGAATGAGGTTCCTCCTAGCGGATAGGGACAAGGACATTACTGCCTCAGTGGCTTCCTTTTTAATCTCCATCTTACCCAAAAGTGTTCTTAATGAATCATTCCTCTAGGGCAGGGGTTGTCAACCTGGTCCCTACCTCCCACTAGTGGGCGTTTCAGGATTCTAGGTGGGCGGTAGGGGGTTTTATGGCACAAGCTGAATCCTCCTTCCATGTAGCGCTGGTGGGCGGTAAGGAAATTTCACCATCAAGAAAGATGCATTAGTGGGTGGTAGGTATAAAAAGGTTGACTACCCCTGTTCTAGGGAATAGACAGCATGAAGCAGAACAATCGAGTACCTTGTGATCCTTGACAGCCTCACTCCTGTCCCTTTTAAATTTATCCTAGTGTTTTGAAATGTTTTTACTTGCAATGCCAGTAGAGGTATTTGTATTTGTATTTGTACTCTTAGCAAACTCATTATCCAAGTGTGAATCTTTATGTGGCCAAAATGGCTACATGCACAAAAGGAAGGTAGTGTCAGGGTTGGGAATAACTAAAAGCTTTGCAGAAGTGACAAAATGAAGAAAAGAAAAAAGAAACTCTGGTGACTGAACATGCTGAGACTGCAGGATACGGAACATCTGTTGAGGGGTGGGGTGGGGTGGGTAAAGGAATGAAAAACTAGGGGAATGGAATGGTGTATCCTCGAAAAGGGCATGGCAGTGTTGTGTTCCCCATTGCAACCTTCTGTTGCAAGTCCCCACTTGTTTAATTATAAATTCCAATTGGCTTAGATGCATTTCGATACTACCCTTAGGACATACTAACAGTTATGTTAATGTGTTGGCATCCTTCACCAATACAATATGTTTCAGGCTCTGTGAAGAGAAATAATTCATAACTGGACTCATATCTATCTATATCTGTATAGATAGATATAGCCTGTATTGGCTAAGGAACTGTCCTATACTAAGTCAAAACATCTATATTATAGACCAGTACTATCAATGCTGGGGATGCGGGTGGCGCTGTGGGTAAAAGCCTCAGTGCCTAGGGCTTGCCGATCGAAAGGTCGCGGTTCGAATCCCTGCGGCGGGGTGCACTCCCGCTGCTCGGTCCCAGCGCCTGCCAACCTAGCAGTTCGAAAGCACCCCCGGGTGCAAGTAGATAAATAGGGACCGCTTACCAGCGGGAAGGTAAACGGTGTTTCCGTGTGCTGCGCTGGCTCGCCAGATGCAGCTTTGTCACGCTGGCCACGTGACCCGGAAGTGTCTCCGGACAGCGCTGGCCCCCGGCCTCTTGAGTGAGATGGGCGCACAACCCCAGAGTCTGTCAAGACTGGCCCGTACGGGCAGGGGTACCTTTACCTTTACCTTTACTATCAATGCTGACAGATAGTGGCTCTTTAAGGTGTAGCAAACAAAACTGTCACCCAGTCCTGCCACCTGGGATTATTGAACTGGAAATTATTGGGACCAAATTTTGTGATACTAAACTCTGATACCTTAGCTGATTGCTTGAAGAATAAAGGATGGCAAATTAGCTGCACTTGCCAATGCACTCGTACTCAGAAATAAGTGTCATGAAATTCACTGGGGCTTAAAGGTAAAGGGACCCTTGACCGTTAAGTCCAGTCGTGGACAACTGGGGGGTCCTGAACTCATCTCACTTTACTGGCCAAGGGAGCCGGCGTTTGTCCGGAGACAGCTTCCGGGTCATGTGACCAGCATGACTAAGCCGCTTCTGGTGAAACCAGAGCAGCGCACGGAAATGCCGTTTACCTTCCCGCCAGAGCGGTACCTATTTATCTACTTGGACTTTGACGTGCTTTCGAACTGCTAGGTGGGTAGGAGCTGGGACCGAGCAATGGGAGCTCACCCCATCGTGGGGATTCGAACTGCCGACCTTCTGATCGGCAAGCCCTAGGCTCTGTGGTTTAGACCACAACACCACCCACTGTGGTCTGAAGGTCAGCGGTTTGAATCCCTGCGACAGGGTGAGCGCCCGTTGTTTGGTCCCTGCTCTACTGTCTGTTGACTGTTGAAGGATATTCTGATTTAGGTTGCATATTAAGTTTACTCAAATTAAATGTTACTTTTGTACATTCTACACACAACCCAAAATTCATCTCATCAGTGTTACATCTCTGATGTGTAGCTCTCAGGCTTCGAAATGCTGGTCCTCTTACCACTTAAGCAGATTTTTATGATCATAGAATTGTAGAGTTGGGAAGGGACCCTGAAGAAGCAGTATACATATTTCATTCAATAAAATATACATGCAGCTGCATTATTCTTACAGGCTCGTAAAGCAAAGAGGCAAACTGACTTCTGGGGGAGCTGGGGAGAATGGGGCGACTGCAGCAGGAGCTGCGGTGGAGGCGTCAGTTTTCGGCAGCGACGCTGTTACTCAATAAGGTAAGAGCCTTTCCCTGTCAGCTTTCTCCTCCTGAAGCTAAAGCCTTTGCCAATACAGGGGAGAGCAGCTGTTAGGTAGGCTCCCCTGTAGGGAAAGCAATAAAGAGTCTAGCTGGAACTTAAGTATTAAACTTACATGCCATGATAAATATTTTTTTGTGGGCTAGACCACAAAATGCATAAAGTGGTCTAGCAACACAGTTCTAATCATGTCTACTCAGAAGTAAGATCTATTGAATTCAATGGGGCTTACTCTCAGGTACATTGGATTAAGACTGCAGACTAAATGTCTTTAAGGAGAAGACTGAAATTCGCTTCAGTTGTTGCTGCGTTCACAAAAGCTGTAGAATCAACTGGGACATGGTTAGCATGATGTCATTTTGTGAAGGCTAGAGAAAGACTAGATGCCATATCTATGTGGTACTAAAAATGCCTGAGCCTGCCAGGGCAGGCAGAGCTGCACCCTTAGACGTATGTTCTGGATGAAACTGGCCAGACAGAGAATACTATTAAATACGTAGTCTCTGCCTCAATGTTGCTTTGAAAAACCATCACATTTTCTACAGCCATGTAGATTTGATATACCACCAACTTTTTGAGACTGTGATCCTAAATGCACTTATTGGAAAGTCAGCTCCATTGAACACAGTACTGTGAAATAAACATGTCTAAGATTGCCCTGTGAATTTTGCATTTTCTCCAGAGTGTTTATCTGCCTGAAGGGTTTATCTACTGATTAAACTGTAGCTCTTTCCAGTACGGATTGGCATCAGAGAAGGCAATGCCCCTCCCTTACCGTAAGCACAGTACTTCAAAGTATAGTGAATTCACATGATGGGAAATTATAGCAGCTTGAAACTGATCACTATGCACCAATGTTTTATATGCAGCAGGGTTCTGTCCTTCTTTAGTTACTAGCTCACTAGCAACCAGTGCTGGTTAATTACAATTTAGGGAACTTTCTAAAAACACTATCCAAGCTGTATGGTTGTTATTTTTCTATTGGCAGCTCCCCTAAGCCATATGGGTGGAGGGGCAACTGTGAAGCAAATACATTGGTGGGATCCATGTAATTGGTCTAGGGGCCATATAGTTGGGCTTTCCCAGCTGCTCGTAGAATGGTTCCCATGCAGCTAGGCTTGCATGGATTTCGGCTCACATCTATCTTCCGGCAAGGTGGTGGCTGAGCCTAGTTCAAGGGTAGTGAGAGGGGGGAAATGAGCAGCTTGCATGCCACCAAACAAAAAGATGGGAGTCTGCATGTCACTGGCCTGTTGGTGGGTGGGAGGCTGTGGTTGCTTTTGGAGAACTGATGCTACTTCAAGGCTAGTACTGGCTATCCAGGAGTCTTCCTACTGTCTCTGTTTGTTTCTCTGATCTGGCTTGCAGTTCTGGCTGGGACACTGGTTTTAATCAACTATCATACCTTTTGAAGATGGGTATGTGAGGGGAAGGCAGAGAGTGCTCAGGTTTATCACTTGTTCTTGCTCCAACAAACCATAGTTGAACTGGGCTGGGAGAAGTAATCTGACCTGGGCCTCATTCCCTTACAAGGAAACAGATGTCATAAAAGGCTACCTTGAAACTTCCTACCACCTGGGGGGAGGGGAAGTGCAGAAGACTTCACTGTCAACTAGCACTTTATTAGCAAATGTAAGAATGAATTGATGGTAGGTTTTTGTCATTTATAATTTCCCCCCAAGCCATTGCAGATGGTTGATTTCTCTTTCAGGGCAGATGGTGGGTTCAGCTGCATAGGACCGACCCGAAACTATCGCTCGTGCAATGTTAAGGTAAATTGACCAGTGAGTTCTTTTATGCTGTTGTTCTCCCTATTACTTAAAGAGCTTCAAGATTCCCCCCCCCCCCCCGCCAGTTACATCTGACACCTACTCAGTGTCTTAAGGAAGATTACAAATGAACTTCCTTGAACCAAAACAAAAAAATTCCTTCCAGTAGCACCTTAAAGACCAACTAAGTTAGTTCTTGGTATGAGCTTTCGTGTGCATGCACACTTCTTCAGATACACACTGAAGAAGTGTGCATGCACACGAAAGCTCATACCAAGAACTAACTTAGTTGGTCTTTAAGGTGCTACTGGAAGGAATTTTTTTTGTTTTGACTATGGCAGACCAACACGGCTACCTATCTGTTCCTTGAACCAACTCTGTCATAAAAAACAAATGAGCCAACAGATGAGTAAAAGGACACCATTCTCACCATTTAATGCATGACAGCTATTCAGAACTAATTAACATTAGCAAACATTGAGTACAAGAATGTGATCATTGATATATACAATTCGCTTCCCCCCTAGTTTCCTGACAAATGGGATTTTATACTATATTGAACAACCTTTGTACAATCTTTCTATTGCACAACTGTACAGCGCATGTATTTACATCTGCTTCTGAATAGAGTAATTTCTTTTATAAACATATTATGTAAGCACTCTGTTATCCCTGGATAGTATTTCCTTGACTTTAGTTTTTTATGTATTTTGGGGATGAAGTAGAGGTTGAACTGAGGTGAAAGACTCTCTATAAACTTTTGAAAAATGGCCACGCATGGAAATTTTGAGTAGGCAGAAGAAGCAGTAGTATCTGTGTAGTTCCCATGATTATATAAACAAGCCCAGAAATGTGCTATGTTGCCTCCACCGAATAGATGCCATTTTCTGTTGATCACCATGATTTTTAGTAGCCTTCCATTTGATATTCAACATTGCATTTGAAAGACTCTTCTAATGCAAGGTAAGAAGAAAGGCATAAAAAATAGAGGCAGAAGCCTGAACTCTGAATGGGAAGGAATAGAAGGTTTGAATAGATTTCCTCACTTATTCTGCCCACTGATTAGTCTAAGATCACTCAGTGAGCTTCATGGCTGAGTAGCAATTTGAACCCAGGTATCCATGCACCAGCACTTAGTTCACTGGTTCCAGTTGCATGCTGGTGATACCCAAAGTCTTTTGAAAATGAGGAAGCATAGAATAAGTGGATCCCGAACCACCTTCCATAAGTTAGGCTGACTTGAAGAAAATACAGAAAGCCACACACAGGACAGTTCTTCCAAGCAAGGTGCTTATCTTCTTCTATTCCAGACTTTGTTTCAGATAACAGATTTCTTTCTCATCCTTCCTAGAACTGTCCTGAGGGCTCCAGAGATTTTCGAGCAGAGCAATGTGCTGAGTTTGATGGGATAGAATTTCAGGGAAAGAGATACAAGTGGCTTCCTTATTATGGAGGTAATCCATGGATTTACCCTTACTCAATGATTATGCAGTTCATTTGACATAGTGAATTAGGGAGAAAGTGAAATGGCTTCTTTTAGAATCAAATCTCTGCTTGGACAGTACTTCAGTGCTACATCCTGCAAAAACTGATTAGAGTCCATTGAAATAGATTTTGCAGGATTTGTGGAGAAGTCCAGTTTGATCACAAATGGTATGTAGGTGACTTTGTTCCAAATGTATTGGGGTGTGTTCATAAGGTGACTTGAATATATTTTAATTTTATTTAAAGTGTAGTGTTGGTAACTCCTAGTTGTTACCAGTCAGTGCTATTTTTCTGGGAAAAGAGGTGCCTGAATTCACCATGAACACCTCCCTCATTCTCTTAGAATGGCAATGGTGCCCAGCTGATGGGTGCCAGAACTGAGTTCTGGCAAGTTCCAAAAGAAAAAAAAGCCCTGTTGTTAGTATAGCTAATTCACATTGTCTGTGGTTACAAGTGAACTCTATTCTTTTCCTGTTGCAAAGTTTTCCATTCCATCCCCATTTGTCTAGTCCAAAAATATACTTTTCTATGGGGAGTTGTTATGCACTTCAGGAGAGCTGGCATAAAAATGAAATCCATGTTGAAATGTAAATACGCCCTCAGCCACTGGCAGAGGAAAAGGGGGGGTGCAGGCCACCCCGGGTGTCGTCCCTGAGGGGGGTGACATCGCTGCACCGCCCCCCTGGGACGCTTGCCCCGCCCCCGCTTGCTCCACCTCTGCCCTCAGCATATCCCTTGATCAGCTTTAAAACTACCATATGGCCCTTGACACGTGTGCACGGATACCGCAAAAGCAAATTCTGCTTCATTCAACATGTCGCAGTTCAATAAGGGTGGGCTGATTCAAACCAGTAATAATATACAGCCCAGCCTTTAAATCCTTTCTCCAGGTACTGATGATCAGGCTTTACCCTCTGAGTACTGAAAAAGTTTTCTTGATAGAAAGTGTGCTGTAATAAACGGGAACCCCAATGAAAGCCTTCTTCAACTTGATTCAGGGAGTCAAAGAACATGCCCTATGCAGTTGCTTGCATCTTTATTGTGCAGTCAATCGTTTCAATGATGGTAGTTCCGTACTGCTTTTAACCGTTTTCTTGTTTTCACATTGCTGTGCAGTGCCCTGGTATTCTATGGGATAGAAGTATTTATATAAATAAATAAAGCTGCACAATGTTGTATGTGCCTTTGTGGGGGAAAAAGAACATGCAAAGTAACACATTGCTTTTTTGCTTTCCTCTCCTCACAGCACCCAATAAATGTGAACTAAACTGTATCCCAAAGGGAGAAAACTTCTACTACAGGCACAAAGACACCGTGACTGATGGGACACCCTGTGAGCCAGGGAAGCATGATATCTGTGTGGAAGGAGTCTGCCAAGTAGGCCATTGTTACCTCTCTCTTGAAAATCGTGTCCGTCTTCCTCCCCCCCTTATTTCCTTTCTCCCCCCCCCCTTTGCTCTTAGTTCTTTTATTTATTAATCAGATTTGATCCTATCCTTCCTTTTAGATGCTCACAGTACTATACCTGGGCTTATCCCATTTTACCCTCAATTTTGTTCTGTAGCAGATGGTGTGAGGGGTGGGACGACGACACTGCCGCTCATTGACTTCTGGTGGGTTTTTACTGTGAAGGAGAGGGCTGAGGCAGTGATGAAGTCAGTACAGTGCAAACAAACCAGCAGGAGGGCCCTATTGGCTCTGCCAGTGCATTGGTACTGTGCTGACCTTGCTGCCAGCTCACCCGTCTACTTCTTGATAAGCAGCAGGTCAGGTGACCCGTGGCACCCCACCCCTTCCCAGCATCCACTATTGCCTTCGTTTGGTAGGCTAGGCTGATAGTGACTTGCCCAATGTTAACCTGTGAGCTCCATGGCTAAGCAGGGATTTGAACTCTGATCTGGATCCCTTACCTTTTTTTCTACTACCTGCTAGGATGTTACCTCTTAAGACTTGGCAAGTTCACTTTAATTTATGCGTACTTTAGATACATAGCATGCAGACAACTGTGTGTGTGTGTGTGATATCTGCTCGTGCTTCAGATCCTGCAGCATGTGCTCTCTGGGCTCTGGAAGGGGCAGAGCATGGAAATAGGAACATGCTAGTTGTTATGTAGTGTAGTTTCACCCTGGGCCAACAGGGGGATACTGTATATAGTTTTCACTCAGGTCTGTAGATAGTTTTCACTCAGGTCCGCGGCAGTTATTTTAGGCGGGAACTCTGGGCTGTTGTGGTTACAATGTTGACAGCCGGCTGCCTATAAATACAGGCCGGCTGAGCTGTTCGCAGTCAGTTCTATTCCAGCTTACCAGAATAAAGAGCTACTTGAAGAAATCGCTGTGCCGGCTGCTATGTCAACCCACGACTTAACACTGGCGACGAAGGTGGGATGGATGGACATCAGAGCACAGCCAGATGCGGCCAGCCTGGATGGGATACGATCCAAGAGAAGCTCCGCAACCACTACGCACCAAAGCCGTCCAAGATTGCTGCCCGCCATGCGTTCTACCACCGGAACCAGGCAGAGGGGGAGTCAATCAACAACTACACCACCGCCCTGCGACAGGCTGCAATGCACTGTGAGTTCCGAGACTTAGACGATGCCCTGATGGATCGAATCGTCTGCGGGGTCCGGGACATCCATCTGCAACGGCGCCTCCTAGCCAAGCCAGACCTCACGCTACAGAAAGCCATTGAGGAGGCTGTGGCCTCAGAAGCTGCTGAACGCTCCGCCCAGGAGATCCGCAAGTCCAGCAGCCCGCGTCTTGCTAGGGAGCCAGTTCCGGTGCATCATGAAGAGGCCAGCAGTGATGAGGCATCCTCCAGTGAAGACGATGACGTGCACCAGACAAAGCGGGAGCGCAGGAAGTTCCAACAGAAGTCCAAGGGCCAACCGGAATGTGCTGGCTGCGGAGGCAACCATTCCCGTGCCAAGTGTCGATTCAGAGACGCCATCTGTAGGAAGTGTTCCAGAAGGGGCCACATCGCTAAGGTCTGCCGATCGGCTCCGTCTGACACCCCCCCTTCATCGACTCGCAAGTCCAAGTCTTCACTCCAGTCTGCCAAGGAAAGTTGTTTCGCTCTCACCAACTGCCGCTGCCCGTCTGGAACCACGATTGGTCAAACCGACTCGCCTACGCGACGCAAGCTGAACGTCACGGTGCTCATTGAAGGAGCTCCATGTGACATGGAGATCGACACCGGGTCTGCCCTGTCCATCGTGTCATGGAGCACCATCAAAAGACTGGTACCCAGAGTGTCCAAAAGGCAACTTGACTCTCACCGCGTACACCTGAGAGACTACCAGGGAAACGACATTCCCGTGGTAGGCGTTGGCCGGTTCCGGATCGCCTTCAAGGATTTTTCGGGCCTGCTCCGGTTGGTGGTGGTCGAAGGTCAGCGACCAAGCCTCCTAGGGCTAGACTGGTTTGATGCCCTCGGCCTGGAAGTCACCGGCATCAACTGCATCTCTAACGCAGAGACTGAGGGTCTGGTCAAAGACTTTGCCGAGGTTTTTGACGGCACCTTGGGCCAATATACAGGTACGCCCATCTCCTTTAGCCTTGATCCACAAGTCGCCCCCATCAAGCTAAAGCCACGCCGGGTTCCCTTTGCTCTCAAGGCTAAGGTGGACGAACAACTGGACAAACTGATCGCCCAAGGAGTTTTGGAGCCGGTTGACCACGCAAAGTGGGAAACCCCCATCGTCACGCCTGTCAAGCCAGATGGGTCGGTGAGAATCTGCGCTGACTACAAGTGCACGATCAACAAGGCACTTCAGCAGCACGCTTATCCGGTTCCTGTTGTCCAACACCTGCTGCATTCCCTGGGTGAGGGTAAGGTCTTCGCTAAGCTGGACCTTGCCCAAGCCTATCAACAACTGCCAGTCGATGATGCCACTGCTGAAGCCCAGACGATCGTCACCCACCGGGGGGCATTCCGTTGCCGCCGGTTGCAGTTCGGGGTGAGTGTGGCTCCTGGCATCTTCCAAAGCCTTATGGAGCGTCTCCTGCAAGGGCTTCTGGGCGTGGTACCATATTTTGATGACGTCTTGGTGTCTGCAGACTCACACCAGCAGCTGTTCGAGCGCCTCCGTGCCGTGCTGACCAGGTTCCAGGAGGCCGGGCTCAAGGTAAAGAGGGAGAAGTGCCAGATCGCCGTTCCACAGGTAGAGTTCCTGGGCTATCTTATCGATGCCTCCGGTCTTCATCCAACCACATCCAAGATCCGCGCTATCCAGCAGGCCCCCACTCCAAAGAACAAAACGGAGTTGCAGGCGTTCCTGGGGCTGCTGAACTTTTATAACATGTTCCTGCCCCACAAAGCCACAGTGGCTGAGCCTCTTCACCGACTCCTTAGCACTAAGACGCCTTGGGCCTGGGGTCATCGGGAGACGGCGGCCTTCAACGCGGTCAAGGCTCTCCTTTCTTCAGACAGTGTGCTGGTACAGTACAGTGAATCCAGGCCGCTGGTCCTTGCCTGCGACGCCTCACCTTTTGGCATCGGTGCTGTCCTTAGTCACCGTTTTCCAGATGGAAGAGAAGCACCGCTCGCCTACTTTTCCAGGACACTATCTCCGACGGAACGGAATTACAGCCAGCTCGACAAGGAGGCATTGGCACTTGTGGCTGGAGTGAAGAGGTTCCATGAATACCTCTATGGCAGGACTTTTGACCTCATCACTGACCACAAGCCACTCCTGGGCCTCCTCGCCGGTGATCGTCCAACTCCACCGGTCCTCTCACCACGCATGCTGCGATGGACTGTTTTCCTGGCTGCCTACCACTACCGGCTCATCCACCGCCCGGGGAAATCGATGGGCCATGCCGACGCCCTCAGCCGTTGCCCTCTTCCAGCATTTGTGGAAGACCCGGCTCCAGCTTCATCGCTCCTTCTGATTGAGGATCTTCCGGCAGCGCCTGTATCGGCTGCCACTGTGGCCTCCGCATCTGCCCAGGATCGCACCATCAGCCGGGTGCTCAACTGGGTGTGGAGGGGGTGGCCACAAGGGCCCTTTGCATCGGAGTTCCAGCCCTTCGCAACCAGACAACATGAACTCTCAGCTCATCGCGGCTGTCTGCTGTGGGGAGACCGCGTCGTGATTCCCCAGGGACTCCGTCAGCGCGTCCTGGAGGCTCTGCACGTTGGCCACCCGGGAATTGTCAAAATGAAGGCGTTGGCTCGGTGTTACGTCTGGTGGCCTAATATGGACGATGCCATCACTGCCTGGGTGTCCGCCTGTCAAGCGTGCCAGGAGTCGAGGCCTGCACCACCGGCAGCTAAGGGACACACCTGGGAGACGCCAAAGACACCCTGGTCGAGGGTGCACATCGATCTGGCTGGCCCCTTTCACGGCCGGACCTTTATGGTAGTGGTGGACGCCTATTCCAAATGGCTGGAGGTCGCCCTGATGCCCTCCACCACTACCGAAGCTGTCATCCGGGTGCTGCGAGGCCTGTTTGCAACGCATGGGTGTCCTGATGTCCTTGTCTCTGACAACGGACCGCAGTTCACGTCAGGCACGTTTGAGCGGTATCTTTTGGGACTGGGCATCCGCCATGCCCTAACGGCACCCTTTCATCCATCCAGCAACGGGCAAGCGGAAAGAATGGTGCGCTCGACAAAAGAGGCACTGGCGCGCCTGGACCGGGGAGACTGGCATGAGCGGGTCGCCGAATATTTGTTCGCGCAACACATCACCCCTCATGCGGCCACAGGGAGGAGTCCTGCGGAACTGCTTATGGGCCGCCGCCTCAGGTCACCGCTCGACCGGCTACACCCAGACTTTGCCGTGGCTGAACCCCCAGGCTGTGCCAACGCACCACGGTCATTCGTCCCGGGAAACCAGGTCTTTGCCCGGAACTATGTGGGGGACATCCCTTGGGTGCCAGCCACAGTAGTGGGAGTCACTGGACCTCGCTCGTACCAGGTGGCACTCGAAGACGGACGCTTGTGGCGACGGCACATAGACCAGCTTAGGCGCAGGGTTGGGGACTTGGACACTACCGAGGTGCCTCCAACTGCGCTTGCGGCTCCAGAAGAGACACGTACAGATGGCGAGGCCCCACCTACACCTCCCTCGCAAACTGCCAGCGTGGAGCCGAACCAAGCCGTTTCAGAACAGACTCAGACCACTCCACTTGCGGAGGCTCCACCCACAGCAGCGGATCCAGGGGAGTTGGTTCCAACGCCACCTAGGGTCGCACCACAGCCTCAGCGAGAACTGTGTGGCCCTCCGGACTTGGCTACCAGTCCCCGGCGGTCTGGCAGAGTTTCCAAGCGCCCAACTCATTTAAAGGACTATGTTGTTGGACAGGTATCACTGTTGGTCTAAATATGGGAAATGTAACCGATATGCTTTTGTGCCTAATTGAACCATTACGCGTAGTGCTGTATATAAGGAAACCATTACGATTGTAACTAACGCCTTATCTCGGTGGGGAGGGGTGTTATGTAGTGTAGTTTCACCCTGGGCCAACAGGGGGATACTGTATATAGTTTTCACTCAGGTCTGTAGATAGTTTTCACTCAGGTCCGCGGCAGTTATTTTAGGCGGGAACTCTGGGCTGTTGTGGTTACAATGTTGACAGCCGGCTGCCTATAAATACAGGCCGGCTGAGCTGTTCGCAGTCAGTTCTATTCCAGCTTACCAGAATAAAGAGCTACTTGAAGAAATCGCTGTGCCAGCTGCTATGTCAACCCACGACTTAACACTAGTTATTATGAGGCAGCAAACTCAACGGAGCTCTATTGGACTCCCCAAGTACATGAGGTGAAAGCCTTTGTTGGGCCTTTAAACCAGTGGTGCCTTGCAAAAGCAAGGGACTGGAACAAAAGGGTTTTCCCAGTTCTATTAAATAGTGGGTGAACATAGCAGATGACACAGAGATTTCTCCAAGTAGTTCTTTATAAGTAAGCTGGAACTGAACTGAACAGCAAGCAGCCCAGCTGGCCTGCTTTTATAGGCAGCCGGCTGTCAACATTGTAACAACAACAGCCCAGGGTTTCCCCACCTAAATTAACTGACGTGGACCTGAGTGAAAACTATATGCACAATACACCCTGGTGGCCAGGGTGAGAACTTCAATACATAATAAGTACCTCTGGGAAAAGCAGCAGGGAAGACTTGTGTAATCCAAAACTGTCAGAAGCCACCTTGGCAGAAGCCACCTCACTGCTTTGAGTTCCTGCAGCCCCATCAATGACCGCTAGAGGACACACAAAGACAAAAAAGAAACAAGCCCTCTTTAATGGGGTGAGGGGAGGTCAAGTGGGATAGAAGTTCCTGCTCCCCCTCCTTGTATTATGCTCTGACTTTCCTTCCAACATGCACTTCCATCCTGTCCCTGTCTTTGACTTTCTGGGACTCTTGGCTTCTCCCCTTGCTTGGTCAGCTGCTCAAGGCTGTCTTTGCTGTTTGGCATTTCCCACAAGGGTTGGAGGATTAGGTGAAGGGGACAGGGCATGTAAAATGACCTTTCACCTTCCCTCATACTTTGGTTGACTGCCTACTTTCTGTTTTAGCTACAGCAGCTGTGGGTTTCTCCAGTGAGGGAGAGTGTTGGCCCATGGAGGGGCTGCTCTTTTGGGAAGCGTGAGGCAAGCAGGCAGTTACTGTGGGGCACTGTTCTGGCTGTGCTCCATTTCATTATAGATTTTAATATCTAAACTTCATTAAAATGGCCATTTTCATGGTCGGCAAAAGGGGAAAAAACACCACAGCCATCTTTTTTTAGAAGCTCCGGTCCATACAAATGCCAGATGTATTTTCATCTCTGGTGTTTCTTAGCTGTCCAAGCTTAAGAGTTGTCTTTTCCCACAAAGCAATTATGTAATGTATTACTCACGTATTTGAAACTTGAGCTGCCAAGGAAGACTAGTGGCTGAAATGTGTCTGGCATTTGGATGATATTGCTTAAATTTTAAAAAAAATACAGACACATTTTTCAACTGGACATGTTTATGCCTCAGGGGGATACTCTGATGAAAGTTATTTTATTTTATTGAACAAGATTGCTTAATAAAAAAATCTCTTAAGGCCCCATTTGCACAATACACTTAAAGCAGTATTGTACCATTTAAAACAATCATGACTTTTCACAAAGAATCCTGAAAACTGTAGTTTGTTATGACTACAGAGAGCTTTTAGGAGACCCATTATTCCCCTCACAGAGCTAGAGTTTCCAGAGTCATTTAACAATCAATCTCTCTTCCTGGGGAACTCTGGGAAATGGGAAAATCTATAATGAAATGGAGCCCAGCCAGAAGAGGGCCCCACAGTAGCTGCCTGCTTGCCTCATGCTTGGGAGGGGAACAGGGGTCTTCTAACAACCTTCAGCACCGTGAATAAACTACAGTTCCCAGGTCTCTTTGGGGAAAGCCACAACTGTTTAAAGTGATATGATACTGCTTTAAATGTATAGTGCAAATGGGGCCTAAGTGGTGTACATAAAATGACATAAATTTTTAATTAAAATAGCAATAACAGCACTTTAAAACAGTAAACTTTTGTGTGTTTGCTTGTTTGTTTGCTTTCTTGTTTGCTTGCTTGCTTTTTATATAAGATAAGAGTTAGAGGCATAAAATCAACAGATTTTAAAAAACAAATGTACTGTACAATATAAAATTAAATGTCTGGGTAGGCTTGCCTAAGCAAACAAACAAAAGTTTTAAGCAAGTGTCAACCTGTACAACAAAGCCGCCTTCCTCATATCTACAGGTTGGAGTTCTAGAGAATAGGTGCTGCCACACTCTAAGATTGATTTTTTCCCCTTGCAAGTGGATATGGTTAATAGTCATGACCACAAGACTATTGCTTTACCCACTATGCTACCATACGTATGCATTTTCTCAACCTGGAGTCAGACAGTAGTTCTTTCTTCCAGAGATTTGAAGGTGGATTGAAAGAGAAATTGATGGTTGCCGTGCGTATATTTATCCCACTATTCTTGTGATAACAGGTTTTGCAGATTTGTTGTGTTTCAAAAACCTGCAAAACGTGTTTGGACCAGAGGCAAATGTAGGTCAAAAGAAAACAGACGTTCACCATGGGAAGTGAAGTGGTGCGCAAAACATTTCAAAATCCAGTCTGGTTCTTCGAGTCCTTGGTCTTGGTATGAAATGTAGGCCTTTCCTTTATCTTTTCTCATGAAGGCATTCCTTGACTGGCCTTCTGAGTCATACTTGCATTTTGGTTCACACTCTGCTGTTTTACAGGCCGTTGGCTGCGATAACATTCTGGATTCTTCCAAGAAGGAAGACAAGTGCCTTCAATGTGGTGGAGATGGCAGAGCCTGTTTTGAGGTGAAGGGCTTCTTTGATGTGCCCAACCTCCCTAAAGGTACAGAATAGCGTATCTTCCACAACAGCTCAGTAGTGAGATAGCAAAAAATGCTTGGGCTGGGTCTGGCGGGGAGAGATTCCATCGTGCTTCTTCATCCGTTTATATCTCCAAGGCCCAAGGAGCTGAAGCACAGGAAGGCCTTGACTGTATCAGTGCAGAAGCTTGATGCATCATTAGCATCACTACTTTGGGCTGTAACTTATCAATTACATGGCTGGGCTGCTTTATGGGCAATATGAATCTGGATAGAACCAATCCAAAAGCGACGGAGTAGTTACAAGTGGATTTATGTCTTCTTCCACTTGCCTGCTTATTCATTCTGAAAAACACCTTCTGCACATGAAAGGGCAACTTTAGCCTGCCTTCCTTGTCTATTACCATCTGCCTTAGTAAGTAGAATTTACTGTGCCTGACTTGCTGCACTTTCTTTAGGCTACAATCAAATCTTCATCATTCCCATGGGGGCCACAAGCATCCGGATTAAGGAAGCAACACCTACCAGGAACTTCTTGGGTATGTACAACAGTTTTTCTATTGCTCTGTGTTAAAAGAGAGAGAGAGAGCTGGGGGGGGGGGCTTAAAGCACATGATTCCCAATTCATTCACTTAATTGTGCACTTAACTTAATTCTACATTTAATTAACTTAATTCTGCATATTCAGAAATTTCACATGGTACAGTTGTCCTGGGACTATACCACTCAGAATGCAAGTGGAAGATTGCTCAGTTCATGGATGAGATTGGGATATAAGTAACAAGGTTGACCTTGCAGAGAAAGTCTGGCAGTGGGCCTCTGTCTGCTACAAAAGCAAGATACTTGGACAAGAGAGCAACTGATGTCAGCTGTCTAAGAATACTGGCTTCCCATGGCGATTTGATTTCACAGCATTTGTTCAGTGTTGCACACAGCTCTCAGTAAACTTTGTAATATATCAATAAACCCTGAAGCTATTGACATCCTTTTTTTATGGGATGCACAGTAATAACAACCATGTAACAACAGAGGTGTATTCTGGATGTGGTATTAGTCTTCTATAATGAGCCTGAAATGAGCCTAGTTTGGTTTCCAAACTAGACAGCTTTTACATTTCCCCCCTTGTGCCCTCTGGGTTTTTTTCCTTCCCCCGCAGCCATCAAGAACGCGCAAGGGGCCTACTATCTGAATGGCCACTGGACGATTGAGTTCAGCCGTGCCTTGCATATTGCTAGCACAGTTGTGCATTATGACAGGGGTTCTGAGGGGGATCTGGCACCTGAACTTCTTCACGCCAGAGGCCCAACTACTGAGCCCTTGGTCATTGAGGTAAGCCCAGTTTCCTGTTTTGTATATTCCCCTCCTCTTCCAGCTTCCACAGAGGGGGTGCTCAGCATTATTCCCAGAGGGAACTGCGGGACCTTAAATAAAAATGCAATGCCATGTAGATTGAAGGGAGAATAGCCATTTCTTGGCCAAAAAACCAACTGTGAGGGTGGATAAGAGAACTTGTATCTATGTTACCTACGCAACTGCATTAAGATCCATTTAGATTATTGCCTGTTGTCGAAAAGAGGTGCGGGGTACGCCCTATTCCCTAGCAAGAAAGCAGTTCCTTCTTTTAATTGAAGGAAGACTCTTCTTTGTGAAAAAGGAAAGGCATAAAGTAGACCCTGGGTGGGGAGGACAGTCCCAAACTGGACATGAGCAGTGGATAGAAAAGGAGTGTGCTTTGGCAAGGATCTGGGTGTTAGGTGTAGTTCATACCCAGAGCAGATGAAGCGAGGAAAGTTCCTCAGCTGTAGCATTCCAGTCAGCAGATGGGTGATCACATGGATTAATGCCTCTCAGCGAACACAAGCCCAGTTCCAGGAATGGTTTTACCACCTCATCTGCCTTTTTGAGGTGAACTGGGCCAATGCCAGACAACACAGCTACAAGAGTGAGGAAAGCAGTTATTTGTGTTACACCTTATTTGCCTCTTCTGTTTTCAGCTTATCAACCAGGAGCCAAACCAAGGGGTACATTATGAATACTACCTGCCAACACAAAGGCAGAGCTTGGGCTACAGCTGGGCCTATGGTTCCTGGGGCGAATGCAGTGCTGAGTGTGGTGGAGGTAAGGACGTATCATAGGATGCTAACTCCACACGAAGTTTAATGTGGATTTGAAGCTGCATGTGCCTTGAATTTTTCATTGTCATTCACATGCCATTTTCAGCATCCAATTGGCAGCCTGCAGCAAACTCAGATTTTTCCAATTCAGGGAAAATCCAAAAAGGGAAGGAGATCTATTATAAAAGCATTCGCTATCTGGCTGTGGACACACTGAAGAGCATTATGTGGGCGGCTACTGGTTTCTGTGATGCCATTTGATGCCACACCCCCTATTTCCATTTTGCTTCTGTCAGGCATAAAATTGAAAGCAGTCATGTGTGGATGAAGGCACACAAGATGACAACACAAAAACAGCAACCCACATATGTGTGAATGTTCTCGTGTGGACACAGCCTTCTATTTAAATTTTGCTTCTTGGGTTCGATGAAGATGATGGAATGCTATATTGTTCTTAGATGTATAGTGTTTCTAATCTCTCTGTAGTTTTAACTGCTGCTGTGGATGAGTGGCGGTAACCAACATCCTTTGCTGTTTTTCTCTTATAGGTTATCAGACACGCTTGGTCTTTTGCACAATTGACAATGAAGTATATCCAGATTATATGTGCAGAGATAAACCACAGCCAGAAAATAACCAAACTTGTGGCCTTCAGCCATGTCCCCAGACAAAACGGTGAGACTTGATTTGGCTTCCCTGCCTGGTTTGAACCATTAGATTTATGAACCTAGGAATTCTGAAATCCCCAGGCAGTGTCTCTCTTCTGCCCTTAATGCTGTCATTGGAAACGTAGATAAGGAGAAATTGTGGCTCCTAATGTGCATGAAGATGATAAACAGAATGTTATTCAAGACAATTCTTTGTGCTGACAAGCTATTATGGAATGGTTTTAGTATCTTTGAAAATGCTAAAAAGGACAGGGCAAAAACCTCAGTCTGAAGGATCATAGAACTTCTTCAACCTAAGTTGGAGGCTGGGGTCCTGCTGCAGAGCAGCCATTGTGGTGAATACAGGTGGTAAGTGACAAGTCCCTATGTGGGGAACTAATTTTTAATTTCATCCAGAGGTTATTTGGACGTGATTATTTGCAGAGATATGGAATGGTTTTTCTGTGTCCCGGTACTGAATTTTTTTATATAGAAATGGGATTTATGCTCAGGATAGTGTACAGATTTTAAGGTTTCCCTTCAAATTGCCATATGATACTTCCCTTGCAGAGAGAGATGGGCTGTGGAGCTTTTCCACTTTCAGAACTTCTCAGGATCCAAACCAACTTCCAGTGTGCCATTTTATGGGTCCTTGTAACTAGACTGGCACAAACAAATCTGCATCATTGCGTACCCAGTTCAGTGCATCAGCCAAACATTGGAGATGTGTGAATGTATCACTGATGTATTTCTTCATGTTGTCTCTAAATGCAAGGGCAGGAGGGACAACTTGAGTTCATAGTGTAGAAGCAGGTGGGTTTAACTTCACACACACACAAACACACACACACGGTTATCTCCATTTCCTCCCACTCTTGCAGCTTCAGTTAGCTGTGGAGATTGGGGGGGGGACCCAGACACTTGCAATAAGATACCTGAAAACCTTCCATGGCTAATACTTTGGGGAGATGCTTCAGGGAATTGGTACAGGAAGAAAGGGTCAGCTGCCACTCCCCCATATGGCCTTGATCCAAATTGGACCCCAACTCCATAGCAGCCTTTTTATTTAAAAGCAACAACACACACATCAGGGCTGCATGAATAAATTTTCAACATCTTGTCTAGTTTGGCCCTAAAAGACAATGTGCAGTCATGCTGTAGCAGGCAACCCAGATGTCTATATATTCACTTTTGGCTTTAAAATCTTTGTTCTATATATATAAAGGATATCTTACCTCTATCTGCCGGGAGCATGGAGCCGCAACACAGCATGGAGCTTACAAACAAAGAGGTAACAAGGAGAAAGTGATTGCAGAGGCCCTGCTCAGCTCCTCTTTCCCTTTTCCCCACCTACAACAGTGGTCTTCAAACTTTTTTCAATTGTGCAGAACAAATTCGTGCATATTGCCAAGGAACTCTGGGTTGTGTTCTGAGCTGCATATTCAGTTCATGTGGATGATGTGGTATCCTGGCCATTCCTGTGGCGCTTCACCATTGCCCACTGTAAACTGAGTGCGTGCCCCCAGACTGCATCCATTGGCTGCACATCGCAGGACCAATTTGCTAATAATGGACAAGCTGTCTTTAAGGTCAGCCATACACCAAAGAACCCAGGGCAAGTTTCTGAGGCGTGCCAGGGTTCATAGGTATTGCCGGGGGCAGGGGGGGCAGCTGCCTCCTAAATCAATGCAAATCTGAGGTTCTGCCCCCCTAACAAAAGCCTCCCCCCCCCAACAAAAATCCTGGCTATGCTCATGCCAGGGTTCTTAAGGATATTGTTTGAAAGCCACTGTTCTAGATTGCTTAGAGGAGCTTTCCTCCTTGGTGATGGTCTCAGTGGCTGCTTAGCTTTGGCTTTTCTCTGTAAATCATGATAGGGTGTGGTAGATGCTGGGGAAATGGAGCTTTGCCTACCTAGGAGTGGCTGACCTGTGGTCATCCATCCTTTCCCATTGGACATGCTGGCTGGGGCTGATGGGAGCTGGACAGGGACAGCCTAACTTCTCATGTCTATGCACTGATAACCTTTAGATTGTGATTACTCAGGCTGCCTTTGAAGATGGTTGAGAAACTGCAGCTGGTGCAGAATTCTGCAGCCAGATTGTTGGCTGAAGCAGGAAGATCCATACATATAACACCAATTCTGGCATGATTGCACTAGCTACTGATTGGTTTCTGGGCTGAATTCAGACCTATAATGCCTCATGTGGCTCAGGACCCCAGTACCTTGAGGACCACCTCTCCTGGCATGAACTAACCTGGACCCTGTGATCGCCATCTGAGGCCTTTCTCTATGTGCCCTCTTCACAGGAGGCCTGGAGGGTGGCAACACAATAAGGGGGCTTTTCGGATCTGTCTTTATCTATTTTGTAGACACCAAATAGCCTTTTTACCTGGGCTTTGGGCCCTTAATTCGAAAGGTTTCAGGTATTTGTGGCCTCTTATGATAGGGCAGGATCTGTAAGAACCGATAGATGTGTTTTTAGGAGTTTATTGGCTGTGTTTGTTGTAATTGGTTTTAGTGTTTATATTGTTTTTGTAAGTTGTGGGTAAAGTGACATAATAATAATATAATGAAGAAGAAGAAGCATTAAAATTATCCTATGCTGTTCACAGGATGGGGAAGAAGTTTTATTTCATTGCACTGATCGTTGGCCATTACATCATAAAAGCACTTGCCACTGGGTGGCACCAGGCAAAATTCCTCCTGGCTTCTAGGACCAAGAAAAATGTTCAGACAGTGTTTCTAGTTTGCAGTCTTTTTTTGTATTGTCTGGCCATGATAACAGAGCTGACTAGATTGATCCTCTGCCAACTGAGTTTATTTTTATCAATAGACTTCCTTTGGGAAGCTGACCTCCAGTCTCAAGGAAACTCTTGCATAGCATCACTTTGGGTCTCCTTCCTTGCCATGAAGGGTTGAGTTTATTTTACTGCAGCTTGGAGGAACTGAATTGTCCATTACTGCTCAGTATAGACAAATGGCTATTGATTGCAAGTACAATCTTTTCCTTCTGAATATAGATCTTGCTACTGTCAACTTTGTGACGGAAGTTCTTTGGAAGGGTTTAATGTCAAAGCATGCAGATAGAAAAAGCATTTTATTTCAGGAATGTCAGGTGTAGGTAGAGGAAACTTTGTTAGTCTTGGTGTCAAACTAGACAGGTCACTGGAAAATATGTAAGCAGTCTCCAGAGGGTTCCCCTCACACAAAAAATGCCGTATGCCAAATCAGATCAAAGAATCAGTAGAATGCTTAACACTTTCCCCCCGGACCATTTCTCTAATAACAAAAAATAAAGATAGGTCACAGAAGAAAGGTTATCAGAATTTGGAGATTATCCTTTGTTGGAGTATATATGACTTTTTGCTTTTTCTCAACAGTAAGTGCACCTTTGCTTTATTGAAGCCAGTTCAGTTTCTTTCTGTGAGAGAGACTTCCACGGTACCTAACAGCTTCCACCGCTGAGGCACCCTCTAGCCATACAGTCTGAAACTATCCTCTTAATCCATTCCATTCCTCCTAGTACCACAATCTTTTAATCTGCAGTCACACCATTTTAAATGCTTTTAGATACTTTTCGCTGTCACCCAAGTTATTGTTTTTTGAATTCAATTACTTGAAAGTGGTAAGCCTCCCTTTAGTCCCGTGGGTTTTCTTGCTGCCAGTGTTGGCTTCTTGGTTCCTTGAGAGATGCTGCTTCTGTATTTACAGATGGAAGATTGGGGAATGGGGAGCTTGTTCTGCCACCTGTGGAGGAGGCACCCAGACTCGTTCCGTTTATTGCGTCTCCCACCACGGACCTGGTTCTCAAAATGCTGTGGATGATGCCGAGTGCGCATCCTTGACAGAGAGGCCGCGTAGCACACAGCCTTGCAACATGCGTCAGTGTGCAGCATGGACCACAGGGCCTTGGTCTGAGGTGAGTTTGTCCTACAGGTTCAGTGAACATATATAGACAGTATAGCCCAGTTACCTCGGTGGCTTGAGGAGGAAAAGAAAGCACAAGCTCACCTACTCCTCCCATTTTGCACACGTGAGTCTCCCCTCGTGTATCATCGCTTTGCCTGTGCATCTTTGTTCATGAGGTGGATTCCCCCCCTCTCTCTGCCTTGAGAGAAATCAACAATTCACGCTTACACAGATTGAATAGTCCTTCCCTCTCACCAAAGAACATGGGAATAGTAATTTTGTGAAAGAAGCTAGAGCTGTGTAACATAATTATGAGGATGTTCATCATGATTTGGGGAGCGAGCCATGACAGTTAAATTGGTATAAAACCAATATAAATACTTAATTCTTTGAATTCCTTCCCAAAATGTATTTCTTTGGCAAAGCTTTATTTTAGTCATCCTTGTTTCGCCATCTCTGATAATCGGTTGTCATTTATTGAAGTGTGTATTTTATGAATTGATTTCCATGAAACATCCCCATGAGCCATCACCAGGCTGGCCTCATGAGGAAGCTAGTTGTTATTATTTCCAGCCATTGCTAAATTCATGAATTTATGTTTTTACTCAAATTCTGACCTTTCACTGAACGTAGTGATTATTGGGGAGGAGGTCTGCCCATGTACTGCAAAATTTGCAGACATGTCAAAACCAAAGTATAATTATGTTTCAATCAGTATGTTAGTCTGGAAGCAGGAAATTAGGTGGTCCAAACAACAATTTCCTTAATCCCTATTCCTAATTTTTGCATTATTCCTACCTTTTATATCTTGGATAGATTAAAAGCTCTTTCAGTAGGCATACCTTCAATTTATGTATTATATACAGCACTGTAACACAATTGGATGGTATGAAAATGGCTAGTAGGAAAGACTTTTTAAAAATTGGTGCTAACTCTCACATGTGTTTATGCATGTGTAATGTATGTATACATACACTTATGTCCCCAGACACAACAAATATGGTACATAAATGTATATGACAGGTATCATGTAAATGAATATTACCAAAAATTCCACCTCTGAGTTATTCTTCCCATCCAGAGGAAGCTTAACCATAGAACATCTCACACGCTGAATTACTCTTTCTGGACAAGAGGATTTCTGAAAACTTTTAAAATGTGGAGTGAGTGGTCCAAATACATGCAATAGATAAAGAGGCACATTTTTTGCAGTGACTGTCATTTATTTTATTTTTACAGTGCACAGCTAGTTGTGGGGAAGGTATTCAGACCCGGACTGTAAACTGCATGTTGGAGCTGGGCACTCGGACTCTCGAAGTTGCCTGCTTGACACAACCAAAACCTTCACGCACCCAGTCCTGCACTGGTGAGAATTGTATCCAAGAGATCGGCTGGCATATTGGAGACTGGGGACTGGTAAGCATTGCAACAATTTCTGCCTACTTTGCTATAGGTAAAAAAGGTACCTATACTTTGCTATACCCCAGTTTATCTGTCCATTGCTGCCCATCTCCTCTCTGCTGCCTCTTTCAGGCCGTTTCCACACTAGGGCATTAATGCATAGGTACATCTTCACACATGAATGTTTCCCATGTTATGCACTTGAAATCTGTCTCAGTGTTTTCATTCTACAATAGTGGGTGGTTTTTGATGGAATATGTTCATGCTGTGTGTTATCCCCTCCCAACAGTGAGTACTTCTCCGCTTACCACAGGACCACTGAGGGCATAAATACAGATATCTATTTACCTGTGCTTGCCCACTTATATTTTTATACAAGATTGGCACAAAATACAATAAATAATTATTTTAAAAACAAAAATGCCGCTCCAAGCCAAGCAATGATTTTGAGTTGGTTGCATGAAAGGCTGCAACTTCCTTTCCTGCCCCTTTCCTTTCCTACCTTTTGTACCTGCAAGGGTAAATTTTGTGTTTATTTTTAATGCAGCTGTTTTGTAGAAGATCAGCTCTGCACAAAATGAACCCCTTTAAAAATAAAAATATCACTTAGCTGCCTTCAGAAACAACCAGTGGGAAAAGGCGGGCTGATTTTTTTGCCTTTGTGCAAAGAAAATGGAAGTAGGGGGTGTGGCAGTGAAATGACATCACACATGCTCTGAAAAGAACACCTGCTTGCACAATGAGCTTCAATTGGGTAACATGGAGTTTTATATTGGATTTTCTTCCATTACCAGATTATCTCTGGATTACGGAAATCCAAATTTAGCAGGGGGGAAGTGTGGGCTCTTGTTTGGGTGAGGAGAATGTTGTGTGGACAGTGGGAAGAAAAACAGAGACATAAGCAGCTTCAAATCCACACATTAAATTCCAGTGTGGACAACCCCTTTATAAGACCTGTTTGCATCAACATAGCCTTTGTTGAACTTCTGGAATAATGGAAACTAAAGTGAGAATGAGATCGCCTCAAGCATGGTCAATAGGTAGAGTTGTTGTATTAAGAGACAACCCAGACATTATAATTTATAGCCCAGCTCGACCATACATGCCTGTGGAAAGTGCAGGTGAATGAATCATGCTCACATTATCACTTTCTCTGGAAATTTGCTTATTTCATAAAATTTACATACCACTTGACTGTAAAGTATAGAGAAGATACAACTGGAGCCAACATAATTTGTCAGTTTGTCTGGGACTAACTTATCCAATGACCTGGAAAAAAAATATTCCATTTATCATTTTATTCTCCCACCAAGGCCTACAACCTACTAGCAGTTACCTGCTCACTACCTGAAAATTCATGTATTAACACCTGCTACCAGAAACTCAAAGGGCTACTCTCTCAGGATAGTGCTACTCTTGTAACGTTACTCCCTCGGGTTACAGTCCCCTAATAACTTGGCTTGCGCTTTGTGATCTAGTGCTCAAAGAGCTGTGACTCAGGCATCCGAACGCGCCAGGTCATGTGTGCAGACGGGGATTCCAAGTTCTACAACCACGAGATGTGCCGGGCCATTCAGCCGCAGATACCAGCCATGCTTGGAACATGCAACACCCAGCCTTGTCATCTGCCACAGCGTAAGTGAAAGCTATTAGCTGTCCACAACGCCCCTTGGTTCTTTTCCTCCTTTTAAGGTGCTATTCCCACCCAGTATCCATTTTCGGACACCTGGGCTGTTAGAATGCATAGTACCACCACCTTTACGTAACAGATTCAGCACTGGGTGTTGTTTTCTTTTGCTGCTCCTAAACCATGGGTGGACAACGTCTTCTCTTTGTTAAATAAAGGCCCGTTGACCCATGGGAGAAATCAGTTGGGGGCCTGAGCCAAAGGTGGTCAAAGCTGCAGCCAATGGTGGGAGGACCCAGTAATAAACTGTGTAAGGGCCCCTCCAGAGATCTATACTGTGGATTAAATTATGTCATCAGGGACGCAAGAGGGTCTAGAAGCCTCCAAGCTGGCCGCAGCAGACTGGGTCTTCCCTGCTCAATGTTGGAATTACTGAGATGTCATCAGGATAGCAACAAGGTCTAAAGCAGCCTTTCTCAACATCCACAGATGTTGTTGAACTACAACTCCCATCACCCCTAGCTAGCAAGGCCAGAGCTCAGGTGTGATGGGAGTTGTAGTCCAACAACATCTGGGGGCCCACAGGTTGAAAACCACTGGTCTAGAGGTTTCTTGGGCCTTTTCATACCTATTGATGAAGAGACGGGCCTTTCCGTTTCTTTGCTAACTGCTCTTTAAAAAGAAAAAGAAAAAAGGAGATACCATAGATTGAACCTGGGAACTTCTTCCTTCAATGCATGTGAACCATCTCTGCTCTTTTGGTTACATATTACATATACCTAATCAAACTTTGGAAGCTGTCAGAACAATGATGAGAAAAGCAAGAGGTTTATTGTCTGGATATGCTAGGGTATCTATTAGGGTTGCCATACGTTCGTAATCTCCCGGCAAAATTTTCGGGGGAAATCCGGACGTATGGCAACCCATGTCGGCAGTGTCGTTTTTGCCAATCCTCCTTAAAAATAGCTCAAAAACGTCAATAACTTTGTGTGCCCCCCCCCCCCAAAAAAGCTCAACATCTTTATTAGTCTGCTTCTTATTGAAATCAATTAATATTATGGTACCACATAAAGCAGTACAGAACAGCATCTGATTGGTTCAATTGAGACTGCCCTAAAATCTGCCCCCAATGTCAAGTCATAAAGACTCAGCAATTGGTGCTTCTCTGCTTCAAAAGTGTAATAAAAGTAAGTCCTTTCCCCTTACTTTTCTGTTTCTGTGTTGGTGCATTTTTGCCTCATAATAACAACATCTCACATCTCAAACCCTGGGTGTGAAAGCCTGCAGAGGTGATTTTTTGCAGCTTCATTTTCACATGTTTTGAAGTTCCATTCCCCCCACCCCACCACAACATTAAAAAACATATAATTGAAGCTTCCTTTCACTGATTTCCATGAGAGCAGGATTTCTTTGTGTTAGAGGATAATTTAGAACAATTCTCTCTGCTCTGCTCACCTAGTTGCTGAAGACACAGATGATTTTAGGTATTCCCAGTTGTTGATGTTGATCTTAGTTCAATTTTTCTAACCTATGGATACTAATCTCATTGCAGAGGTTCCCAGTATGCAAGACTCTGCAGGCTATGATGTCAACCGCCAGACCTCACTGACCCGATACAATCCTGACCTCGGCACCATAGGTTTGAAACTACCTGAACTTTGCTTTCTTTCTCAAATGTTTATGTTTTAGTTTTTGTACCTTCCTTTAGAATAGCTTTACAAAAAGTTAAGAGTCTTTGTGGCCCATATGTATGTAGAGTGCAGCTCTCTGAGGGAAAGATGGGAAATGAGATGGGCCCTGGACCAAGCCAGTGTCTGTCTTTCATTTTCCTGACTCTGAAATGATGGTATGCCTCTTAGAAAAGAAAGCAGTAGTAAACATGGAGGTAGGGAGTCAAACCCCAAAAAAGCTTTCCTAACCCAGGAGCCCAGAACCACTCCTCTACCACCACACATCTTGCTAATCTCCAATGCCTGGCAGTGGGTCCAGCTGAAATTTTGCCTCACACCCCTCCCTCCTTAAGGAATGTGAAACTGCTTTATGAATTCTGCTTTATTCAGTGTTATTTCTAGGGCAGATTCTGAGAGGGCCCCTGGGTTAGGAAAGCTTTTTGGGGTTCATTATCCTGGTGGGATGCTGCCTGATCCTGCATACTGATAGTTTTTGAGGCCAGTTTCAAATATGTGTAGGGCTTCTCCCCAAAATGGACAGGGCCAGACAGTAGTCACATACCCTTAGCATGTAGAAAATCATAGACACTTGACCGAGACACACACTTGACACACAAGCACATCTGTACAGGGGCGATGGAAGATCACCCAGTACACCCTAACATAATGCAGGAACAAAAAGCAGTTGTGAAGAATTTCTATGAAAGGGTCACTCTCAACTTTTTTTCACTCTGAGTAGACCTATTGAAATAAAAGGACCTAAGTTAGCTGTGGTGGTTAATTTCAGTAGGTCAACTATGAGTTGAATGCAACTTAAAGTGCCTGTCCTGCTAGGACAGAACGAGAGGCCCTGACATATAACCATAGATCTGGGCTTAACTCTAGACGTGATCCTGTAACTGTGGGTACATGCCATAAGATACTATGTTTTTCAGCTTCTGCAAATGAAAGAATAACCCAAGCTGGTTCTACTACTCATCACCAAGTCCAGCCTAATGGAGATCATGACTCCAATTTCTTGCCCCTTCAATGGGAGTCTTACTTAGGATCCTCAGCGTCCCGCCACTTCAGTTCCCATCAAAATGTTGCCTCAACAACTGAAGTTCAAGACTGCAACCAGAGCCTTCATGGTTGCTGTTCAGATGGCCAGACTGTGGCCGCTGGTCCTTTTGGGCAAGGCTGCCCATTTGACACTTGCCATCAGAGCAGGTAAGACAAGCTGGTTAAATCCATTTAATCTGCCAGCAAAGACAGCAAATCTGTTTGAACAGATTACACCAATATTGGTTTCCATTCTTTTCCCCTGGTATAGGTATGGGTGCTGTCCTGATGGAATATCACCTTCTCAGGGGCCAAACAAGGAAGGGTGCCCACAATACTACAGTGATGTTTATGTGAACAGGAATGAACCTGCTGTTGCTGCTCCAACAGTAAGGGTGACTCCAGACATCCTTCTTGTTGTGCGTTCATAATGATTTGTGCTCATGATGTTACCGGGGTGGTTATACGCAATCCTGCTTTAATACTGTTTGCATCTGCAAATGCTTTGGGTCGGACGTACAGCCTCATTTCCAATTAGTGTATATACTTCATCTTCCTGATGAAATCCTATAACTTTTTCTACCAGTGGTGGGGGAGAGGGTGTTCCCCTGCTTTTGTTGCATTGTAGCACAATAATGCAATAAGGCTGGAGAAGCCTCGCAGAACAGCTAGTAAAGCAGAATGATGTGTGGTCAGTCCAGTATAAATCTACCACTAATGCACTATTATGTTGCAGAGTACACCTAAACATAGGAAAGATTTATGCTGATGTTCTAGGTGAAATAGCTCAACAGTAGTCAGTATGTATTTATACTGCTGGTGGCACTGTGGTCTAAACCACTGAGCCTCTTGGGCTTGCCGATCAGAAGGTTAGCGGTTCAAATCCCCATGACAGAGGGAGCTCCCGTTGCTCTGTCCCAGCTCCTGCCAACCTAGCAGTTCGAAATCATGTCAGTGCAAGTAGCTAAATAGGTACCGCTGTGGCAGGAAGGTAAACAGCAGCTCCGTGCCCTCTGGCACTTGTTAGTGTCCTGTTGCACCAGAAGCAGTTTAGTTCTGCTGGCCACATGACCCGGAAAGCTGTCTGGACAAATGCCGGCTCCCGCGGCCTGAAAAGTGAAATGAGCGCCGCAACCCCATAGTCGCCTTTGACTGGACTTAACCGTCCGGGGGTCCTTTACCTTTTTATCTTTACTTTATACTGTATTATACCAACAGTGCGCTAGATTAGAAGTTTTGGATCTTGGCTCTGGTTTTCAGTTAAACCTGTGATGATCTTCTCCTTTCAGGGATCTAAATATGTCCCTTCATTCAGGCGATGATTTTGAGGCATTACAGTTACATTGTGATTGTATTGCATACATCGTGTAATGAGTAATAATACTACAGTAATACCTACCACACACACACACACACACACACACACACACACACACACAATATCACACACTTGGTTCTAGTGGGTCAGTTACACATTGAGGTAGGGTGTGTGTGAGAGAGGAAGACTTAGCTTGCTTAAAGTCACTTTGAGATCTTCTGGTTCACAGCTCAGTATTATATAGGGACCATATTGCCCAATCCGTAATTGTGCAGTCCATAATGCCCCAAGAAACACCATCAAAATCGGGTTAGTATTCAAAGTACAACGTTTTGTAAATGTTTCTCTGGAGTTAATGATAAATATTTAGACCTTCAGTGGGATCTGTATCTCACAGGAAACAAACAGAAGTACTGGGTGATCCAGATTGCTCGCAGCGTATATTATGATAAATTTTCAGATCAATGGTGGGTGACTAGAGTATTGTCCAGATAGCAGCCACTGAGTTGTAGCATCCCATTGTCCATTCTGGACTCACAAGCAGTATTTTGGCTTTTTGGCACCCTGGAGATTAGCCCTAGCTCTGACGCCATGGCCCCTCTACTTTCTTCCTTCTTTATTGTATTTATATACCGCCCTTTACCCAGAAGTCTCAGGGCGGTTCACAGAACAAGATCAACACAAAACACCACAATATATACAAGATAGATAGTAGATAGATCTATCTGTCTATCTACTTTCTTCCTTATTTTCCTTCAACCACTTCTGGGCCTGCAGCTGCCTCTGGCAATCATGTTTGGATCCTGTCCCAGCTGCTTTGCTAAGCACAAGCAGTAGTAGGAGCCTCTCCAGTGGCTGAGGATTGCATTTGCAACACCTAATTATCTACTGCATTTTTTAGCAAAGTGCATGGGCTCAGTTCCCAGGGATACTGATGGTGGGTGTTTTGAGAACAAAGTGGGTGGGAGCTTTGCCCAGCTGCTCTGGCCATCTGGAGAAACATCCAATTTATTCATAGGTGGGCAGACTCTTGGGTTTCCTGTATTGTCTGAGCTGATGGTCCACATTTAGTTCACACTAGGCAAGGGGTCAACTTTACAAGCCTGAAGCAAAAGAAGAAGAAAAAAGATTTTTCTTTTCCTTAGCATGTCACTGGAACAGCTTATGAAACAATTCCCCTGCTCCCAATATTGCTTATAATTGTTAGTGGCAATTATCCCAAGTCAAAGAGAAACATTCTGGTGCATGTCTTCATTACCTGCCAAAGTTGCCCCATCAGGTGTTTAAAAAGGGATGGTTGGTCTTATCTCCTCCTGTGGATTTGTTTATGGGTTTGGTTTTGTGGTATGAGATCTTTTACACCATCTCAGTAATGAGACCATCTCAGTAACTTCTGGCTTTGTCCAAGGCGAGCCGAGTTCTGTCCCAGGAGAGGCCAGCGGAGGAGTGTCGTGTTTCTACGTATGGTTGCTGCTACGACAACGTTGCTTCTGCTTCTGGGCCTCAGGGGGATGGATGCCTCAATAGACCCAGCCAACGTAAGTGATGCTTAAGTTTTGAAAGATGGTTTACCCATTGTTTTCTGCCAACATGAACAGAATCAGAGAGTCAGTGTGGTGTAGTGGTTAAGAGCGGTAGTCTCGTAATCTGGTGAACCGGGTTCGATTCCCCGCTCCTCCGCATGCAGCTGCTGGGTGACCTTGGGCTAGTCACACTTCTTTGAAGTCTCTCAGCCCCACTCACCTCACAGGGTGTTTGTTGTGGGGGAGGAAGGGAAAGGAGAATGTTAGCCGCTTTGAGACTCCTTCGGGTAGTGATAAAGCGGGATATCAAATCCAAACTCTTCTTCTTCTTCTTAAAGAAAAAAAAACCAAAACATGAACAGAATCACTTTATAGCTTACAGTGTCATGAAAAAGGATGTAGACAATCCATTATCCAATTAATAATAATAATAATAATAATAATAATAATAATAATAATAATAGCAGCAATCCCTTGGCCAGAATTTAGAATTGGTCTGAAATTCACCCTTAAGATCCCAGTCTCTGATTTCTGTTGGTTTTGTAAGAAATGCCTGTTAAATAAGCAGAGTACCATTTCAGTTCCGTTTTATGGGGCTTCTGCATTCAGTGTTCCTGACAGGAAGGAATCACTTAACACATTTCTGTTATCGAATTATTCTTGTTCAGCTACCCTGAAGAATGAATGGCTTTTGAGCACAGTTTCCCAGAAAGGAAAACAGCATGGACAGGGGCAGGGACCAAGCGACTGCAGCCTTGAAGCCACCTGGCACCTTGCCGTCTTTTTCAAAGCTGCATTGTTTATCACAGTCGGCTACTTCTGGTTGGCTTCTGCAAGCTGTGATGGGCATAGGCCCAACCTAGAAGTGCTCACCCACATACCCTTGAAGCACAATGCCTGGTTTTGTGAGCAGCGCCATTTGATACAGAGACAGAACCGAGCCTCTGATAACGTGAATCCTGACTCCCCTCTAAGGGCAAATCCATAATGCAAACTTTTAAGTGCAAATTATTTTAAATTAACTGTCCTAGCTTTCTCAAAAGAATTCTAGAAAATGGTGCTGATTTATTTTTTTTAAAGATCTGATCTTAAATGACGTTTGCTGCCTTTTTTTACACCTGCTCTCATAACGCCTAGCCCCCTGCTAGGCTTTTTCAGGTGCTGAGGCAGAATACTGTGACAGGAGACTCCTCCAACCCCAGACTCGTTTATCTAAGCTTCCAGTGACTGCTTTGTATTGCCATAGCATCCTTTGTGCCAGGAACGCTGGCATGATTTTCCAACAGATGAGACCTGGGCAGTAGTGACAGGGTGGGAATGGTATGTGGTGAGGGGTAGGCAAGTCTGAGAGAGTGTGTGCTTATCCCACTGCTTCTTACCTGATGCCTCCACCCAGAGTGAAAACACTCTCCAGTTGCCCTTTCGCCATGAATAGGGCAGCACTCTTTGCACAGTCTATCCTGGACTGGTCTGCGCTTTAGTACATATCTGACTTTATTGTTTACGTGTGCTAGCTGTACACACAGTTCTTGAAAAAGACTATGACAAAATCAGTCAGTAGAAAATAGTTTTGCTGTGCCTAAGCAACCTGTAGTGAATGAGCAAGGGTTGATAGCAGGCTTCAGGTTCCTGATACCATATTGTCATCTGGGTTTATTTACTGAGCATCTTACAGACGAACAGCGATTTGGGGCTCATGAACACTTCTGTTTGTCCCGTGCCAAGAAAGCTTGGGCCTGAGAAGTTTCCCACTTATCCTGTGCTTTCTAGGTGTGGCTCCAAATGACTTTGCCACTTGCTCCTGGAAAACCTGCTCTTTGTGCTTATCACACTTCCTCTTGTCCTGCTGCTTCCCCCCCCCCCCGCCCCGGGGCACCTGCTCTTTAAAGCTCATTCAGAGCAAATGGCAATTTGGGTTTTCTCCAGATTGACATTTGTTCTGATTTAACACTAAAGAGTGGGTTTTCCATGGGAAAGGAGTGGGGCAGAGGGGGAAATCACTCAGACCCATGCTTTCTAGGCATGGGACAAACAGAGGCATGGATGAGCCCTGAGTGGGGATGTGGTCAGAAGAAGATTTGTATATCTGCTTATTCTATATCAACTGCTTCCCTCCTGACATTTCCTATTAGCTTATCCTATCGGTTGCCTGCTGCCCAGCGCCCATGGACCCTGCACAGATTGGACTACGCGCTGGTACTTTGTACATGACGTTGGGAAATGCAATCGGTTCTGGTATGGGGGCTGCCACGGCAACAACAACAACTTTGCTTCTGAAGAGGAGTGCATGAAAACTTGCCATAGATCAGTGGGTGGGAGTGATGTGGGACACCAGCACCATGCTGCAGTTCCTAACATCCACTCTAGTTCTCACCTGCGAGGAGTTGCAGAGGAGCAGCACCACCAGCAGCCTGCAAGAGGAGCCACGAGTCATAGCCATGGAGGAGGAGGAGGACGTGGGGCTTTCCATTCTCACACTGGCTCAGAAACTCACTCATTGCTACATCATGGGGAGAGAAGCTGGGGAAGGACCATGACTATAGATAGCCTGCCTGAGTCTCAGCAAGGGATGGGGGAAAGAAGGAAGGATCCAGCAAACCACCTTCATGGTTTAGGGGAAACTGTGGTCTCTGGACACTCTGAGAGGCGGCAGACGGTTCACCGTGAGCATGGTCAGACGGCTCACCGTGAGCATGAAGGGTGGAGGAGAGAATCTGCAGCAGATGGATCAGTAGCGAATGGATTTGAGCGCCAAACCTCAGCAAGCTCTTCCTTCCCTCATTCTCTAAACAGGTAATATTTTGCAATAGCAGGCTTCTCTGCTAGGAGTTGTTTTCTGCAGCATGAGATTGTTTTGCTGCAGGGTGAGGACAGACAACCTATCATAAAGGATTCCAATATAAGCCTGACACAGGAGTAATCCCCTCCACCCCCTGGAAATGTGAGCTACCCAGTACCAGTATTTTCTTTTTAAATTTTACAGTGGCCATGCATTCATTTTTATACACCTACAACCATTGACTTCACACAGGGATGTGAATGAGTTGTGTCTGCTAACAGACTTGTAGTCAGCTGTATCTCTCCTGACTTGTGCTGGATTCTAATGCCTGGCAGTTGTGGTCTTTTAAAATCTGTTGTTGCGAGTAACTTCAAACTCTTACTGGGGCCTTTTGGATAACAAAAGACAGTTAACTAAAAGGCCCCAGCTCTTGAACACTCTACTGCAGGAATGGAGAACCTTTGCCGCATCCCAGTGTTGCTGAACTTCATTCCCGCCTTCCTTGGCCATTGGCTTGCTGTGGCTGTTGGGAGTTGTAGTACAGCAACATCTGGAGGGCCAAAGACTCCCCACCCCTGTTCTAAAGATAGGCAATTAGATATGACAACATGATTTTGCCCTTCATCTAGATAAAGATTGTTCTGGCTCAAGAACTGGTCTTCCAGAGAAGTGTGTGTTTTGGGTCTGGTATGCTTGTGATGCAGGAGGTTTAACTTTCTCCCCCAGTCAGTTTGCATTGTCTCTTCAGTCTGCAGAAGACTCTTCTCCCACTGTTTCCTTGCTTTAGCAACATGCAGACTGCTTCCAGCTCTGCCTAACATGGATCCACAGGGGTAGGTAAAATGCTATTATTAGTTACTCCAGACTCTATTGCACTTGCAAAAGCACCAGGTGTTTTCTCTCATTATCAGCAGTTATGCATTTCCCACCCTGTCCTTTCAGAGCAGCCTTTGAACTTTGGGCTAACTACAGTATGTCTTTCAGGGTCTTCTTGGATGGATCGGAGTCTTCAGCAGTGGAGGCCGGCTTGGGACAAAGCATCCGTCTTCTCTGTAAGGCAGGCAGTTCCCGCTTCTCCAGAGTTGAATGGCAGAAGGATGGGCGGCCAGTGTCCTCTGACAGGTGAGCTTGACCCCTGGCACACACTCCTGTGGTGGAACCCACCCTACTGAAACCTATTAACACCACAGAAGCTTATATTTTAGAATTCCTAGACACAGCAATTTCAATGAGTAGCGGTAGAAGCTCTCTCTATATTATATGGGGCCTGCAACAGAATATTGCTGTGTGGAGCGCTGATCAGGATTCCAGCCACTGCACTCCATTCTGACGCACACACCAGCCACCGCTCACTGCCTCGGTTTTATATTCCACACCCTGCCCTGCTCCACACAGGATTTTTATAAAGATTCCTTTGTATTTTTTTAAACTTTGGGGTTCCCTCAAGCCTGCTGCTCCTGTGTGTGAATAGTGCCGAGTTTGTTACAAAAGGACCAGCAGCATTCAGAGAACTGAGATTACTGTTAGTATTAAAGATTATTGACTGATATCAGACAGCTCAGTGCAAAAAATTACGTACTGAGGAAAGTGGACTTCTGTGGCTCTTGTGCATGACATGAAAATGAAGCATCTCCCCCCACCCCACGTGTATGTATTTTCTTGCATTATTCACTGGGTCCCGCCTACGCAGCTACTAGAAAAACTGATCAGAAGTCCACCACATCGTTTAAGATTCCACCAGGCACTGCCCCAGCAGAGAAATAAATAAAAAGTTACTGTTAACAGGCATTGGGTGCCAACAGCATTTGCTGCTGCTTTATAGCTCGTCTGCAATATATGTCAAATGCTCTCATTTCTCCTCCTGCAGGCATACCTACCAGTCTGACAGTTCCTTGGTGATCAGCCAGCTCAGAGCTGAGGATGCTGGGACCTACATGTGCAAAATTTCAAATGGGAGGGTAGAGCACAGGAAGATTGTGCTGAGGATCAAAGGTGATGTGTTGTTTCTGTTTTAATACTTGAGCTACCTTTGTCTATTTTGTCAATCAAAACAGCCAGGCATAAAGAAAACGCCAACTTTGTAATAATAATCTGTTTGGTATAATAAAAATCCTATGGGTTGCATCTCCTGAAATGAATGGCCGCAGGCAACTTAGGCCTATTAATTTTAATGGATCTACTCTGAGTAAAAGTTAGTTTAATAAAACCCTGTGATGTCAGCAAATCAGTCTCTTAAGCCAATAAATAGTATTCTCTATGAAATTGAATATCAATATATGTATCAAGGCTTTGAGATTAGACCACTGAAGAAGCTCGGAAAACTACCTTGATAGTGTGCTACCTGCAAGCCCCAGTAAAAGGGCTCCATCGGGGGCGAACAGCAGCCTCTTTATTACTTGGACTTCCAGGGCGAAACAGGTGCAAAACGCCAGCACCCTGTCTACAACTTTATCAACATCCATCTACAACTTCCCTAGCATCTCTCAATCTTCTGTTGGTTGAATGAGCAACCTCTTTTCTATTCCAGCCCTGTCTGCTCTGTGGTGGTAGGTCTTTGAGGGAGTTCTGCTCTATCATAATTTTGCAATGTATTTTGTAAGCAAGGTCTCTGATTTTCCTTCCCATCCACCTCTAATTTAGCCATGTTGGGAGGAGCTGCACTTTTCAATTTCTAGTAGGAATTGGGCTGTTGCCTGAGCCAGGGCACATTTAAACTCTGGCCTCATAAATGAGGGGAGGCCTTTGTACATTCAAGGGCCCAGTTGGGTAGTGAGCATGCAGAGTTACTGGACCTTGCATGAAGGGCATTTCACTCCAGGCAAGACTGTCTGCTAGAGATTGCGAGCAATACACATACTCCGGATTGGGTTACCATTTTATAGTGGGCTCCCCTCAGAAACTGTTCCTGCTGGCAGGGGAAAGCATACTTTTACAGTTAGCACAGGGGTGAGAAACAAACAGGTAAACAACAGGTTTCCCATGGCTGTTTTAAAGGAAGTGAGCAGATAGATAGTTGGTTCTGCTATGTGAAGTCAGCTGCTGATTTTTTTGTGCAATCTTATGGCACAGGGCAATCTTATTCAGAATTCTCTCTCCCTAGAAATCCCTGGATCTGATGTTTCACAGAGAGCGGGGAATCAGCTGATTCATGGTCAAAATCACCAGCACAGAGCGTTTGTTTCAGGACTTAGTACTGGGCAGTCACATGACTCTCCTGTCAACCTTCCTCAGACAACATACAGGTAAAGCTAACAGCAAATATTATACCTCTGTTCTCCACAGTGTGTCAAACCAGGCTGTGGCCCTTAAGCACTGTGGGCAGGCAAGAGAACTATTTTGAGAAGCTTCAGGGTATGAAATCACAGCTATATTGCAACTCATCTCAGGAGTATTCACAGCAGCCTCCTTGGGAGGCGGGGACAGCTTGTTGCCGTCATGTTTAGAAGTCCATCCCATAATTTTTTACAAGTGTTAACATTCCAGAATCTGGAACAGGTCCAGTAGGTCTCCTGCTCTTTCCCCACAAGCAAGACTTGGCCCAAAACTTATGCCAGTCCCAATCTCCTGTCAGTTGTGGTGGTGGTTGAAGAGACCTTAGTCCACTGTTTCCGTAATGGCCGTAGTTGTAGTTGCAGTCAGTCCATCCTGAGTCATATGGGTGGATGGTGGCAGTTCTTGCCAGTTGTTGCTGTCTGCACCTCCCAGAACAAAAGGAGTGGTTCTCGGCAGGCTATTATTTATTTGATGAATTTCTAACCTGCCCCTTCAGGACACATTGCTTTCTCAAAGCAGTTTACCAAAATAAAACTGCCCTCCTAACTCATGCAGTTCCCACTTTCTCTAGCCGGCTGATAGTTCAAGCAGTTGGGAGTGTCTAGCATGGGAGGGGAATGGGAATAAGTTGACCTCTTGGTACTTTTCTGGTAAGCATTGGGGTTCTTTATCTTTGGAGTGAAAGGAGTTGTTAGTGAAGATCCTCAAATAGCTACACGGTGAAACAGTAATATTCCACTGAAATTCCTCCAGCCCTTTGTAGAAATCAAGATACAGAACCAGGCAGGCTGGGGCTACAGGGATGGCACTGAAAAGAACATTCTGTTACTGTGGATTCTTGTGGCTAAAGGCATTTCTCTAGGCTTGCAGCCAAGAGAGTACTTAAGGAAGATGTGTTTATACAAGCCCACATTTTGTAAAGCACTCGCCTAGTTGGTTTGCAGCTTCTGTCTTAAGTGCAGCCTCTGCAGTAATCCATTCATGCTCAAATCAAGATGAGGAGCCGCTGCATACTAAGTGTGTGTGTGTGTGTGTGTGTGTGTGTGTTTGCACAGGTGCCGTTCACAGGAAAAGTCAAGAGAAAGGTTCTGATTACATTACACAGATTCAAAATACAGAGCTGGAACACTGCTATTTCTTTGACACCTTGTAAATTTGTTTTCCAGGTTAAAAATGTATAAGAATGAACCCTCAATTGTTGATGCCAATATCGGGGAGCGAGTCAGATTGCCTTGCCGTGTAGAGGCTTTGCCTTCTGTAACCATTGAGTGGCAGAAAGACGGACAGCCCATCTCCTCTCCAAGGTAAGCTACAACTAATGTGTTTCTACTTTCCCATCTTCTTCATTCAATGCCAGGGATACACAGCTCAAACCACTCTGACCAACAGGGCTACGTTGTTAGGTTAATTAGGGACAAGCATTTGTTACAATTTTTACTGTTTTTAAAGGCACATCCTCTGCAAACGTACATTTTCACTATTGTAGGCACTCTTGGTGACATTATAGCTTTTCACATTCATCTGAGGACAGACCCCATTTCTCTTGATGCCAACCCCCCCCCCCAGGTCATTCTCCATCCTCAGTTTTCATTTTAGCAAAACCTTATCTGAGCAACCCTCTTCTCTTTCTGTTTCCCCACCCAAAGTCTTAATTACAACTCCCATTTTGTAGCTACCTACTATTTTCCCTTCAGCCTGTGACTCCTTTCAAAATTTCTGAAAGCTAGTTTTCTCCTGTCCTGAGGGCAAGATGGGTCCTTAGGTAGCTTGGGGGCAGTGGTGTTGCAATGGGGGGCGGTGCTCCCTGGGTGCCATGTCTGGGGGGGGGGTGACAAGAAGGCACTCTGCTCGCGGCTGCAGCCACATGTAGAGGATCCTCCCTTCGCAGCTGCAGCTGTGAGCAGAGGATCCCGGCACCGTCTGTATGGCACTGGGCGGCGGCAAACCGCTATGTACAGCGCATGTGCGGCATCGCTACATACGGCGCATGCATCGCACATAGCGAAGCTGCACATGCACCCTACGTAGCGATGCCCCACCCCAGGTGTCACGACGCCTTCATTTGCCCCTGGTTGGGGGGAAGCCACCTCAGCTGTAACTCTGGGAACTAGATGGCAGGGGGTTTTCCTCCCTTCAGGGCAAGATGGTCCTTGCATAGCCTTGTGGTGGAGGTTGGGGAAGTAGAGGTCGTCTCAATCAAGAAGGCTGCCCTTACATGGTACATACCTGCTCTGCTTACCCCACATTTAGTGACTTACTCGGTCCTTATTCTGGTTCATCCAGTTCATTGCCAAATGATGTGACAAAACTGTTGTGACCACTTAACCAAAATTGGTTCTTGTGACAACCAAGGACTTAAAATTCTTCAAAGTCATTACATAGTAGTTGACAGCAAAAGTAATTGTTATTTTAATAATAATAATAATAATTTTATTATTTGTACCCTGCCCATCTGGCTGGGTTTCCCCAGCCACCCTGTGCAGCTTACAGCACACGTAAAAACATAGTCAAACAGCAAACATTAAAAACTTTCCAATAGAGGGCTGCCTTCAGATGTCTTCTAAAAGATGTGTAATTCTTTATCTCCTTGACATCTGGCTGAAGAGAGGGCATTCCACAGGGAGGGTGCCACTACTGAGAAGACCCTCTGCCTGGTTCCTGGTTTTACAGATAAAAGGGGTGAAGCCCACCTGCACTGTACAAGCTTGAGTTCAAAAGGATGAGCTTGAAGAGAGACTGCTGCTCTTTGGTTGTTGTTCACTTTGCAGCAGTCAGACAGGGCTGACAGCTGATCCTCAGAGGTCGTAAACAAGTTCTGAGAGAGAGATGTGGAGGCACAGTAAGGGTAACTGCATCCAGACTATGCTTTGAGCAATGTAACCTCTCTCAAATAAGTCATTGAGTCAGATGCAAAAAATTCCTTCTCATTACGACTCATAGTCACTATTCTTCTCTTGCTTTCCAGGCACAGACAGCAGTCTGACGGTGCCTTAGTTATCAGTCGCCTTGCCTCCGAAGATGCTGGCTTCTTTACCTGCATTGCTTCCAATGGCCGGGATCAGGATCAGCGAAGAGTCCAGATCATACCTAGAGGTACTAAAAAGATAGATCTTGCTTTGATATTAAGGGGGGGACTAGGGTGAACTTTCACAGGAGGTAAATGGAAATGCTCATTTGTGCTGAGCCAATACGCACCTACAACCAATCTGGAGTGGGAGATATTTGTGTGTTTCAAACAATGGGTTCCTTCGTGTTTAGGTTATCTGAAATAGTTTGAAAATGAGAGGGAGTTGCAGTGATGTGTTTTTAAAAACCCAACCCCAAACTGAGCCACTCACACAAAGCAGCCTCATACAGTTCTGTTTCAAGCAGCCAGCAACATGTTTATTAGTGCTTGGGGCTAATGATGATGAGGCCATGTGGGCCCCTCCAGATGAGCATTCATCTTGATTTGCTTGCACAAATAAGGTTTGATTATATCCAGCCTTCATGGACCATTTGTTCCGATTTGTTTGCAGGGTTGTTATATGACAATAAACATTCCTTCTATTTTGCTTATGGGGTGTTGCACACACATTCCCATCAGTAATTCATTCATATTACACTTTTCAAGGCGTTTCCCCATCACTTTCCAAGCTGCAAAAGGGTTGATACACTTTAAAAAAATAAAAATTGTTTCGCTAGGGCAACGGAGCTCTTTAAACCACTAAGTAGACAAACCTAAAGTTCTGGCATGCAATTGAATCACTCCCACACAATACTGACACACTGGAGGTGCCCAAATTTAGCTTCATCATTAGTAGCACCAAGTACTTAGTGTTAGAGCTCATGCTTTTGCATGTAAAAAGGTCCCAGGCTCTGTCCCTGAATCTAAGGCTGGAACAGATTTCCATCAGAAACCCTGGAGAGCTGCTGCTGGTTAGTGTAGACCCGAGGTCACCAATATGGCCCTCTTCAAGACTTCCCCTGGTGCCCACAAAGCCTCTGAGCATTTCCCCTGCTCACTAACCCTTTCATATTGAGATGGTCAAGGGGATTACCTTTCTCTTCCACTGCCACCATTGGAAATGGCATAGAGCTGAAAAAGGAAGTTGAAAGAGTAATGTTCTTTCCCACTTCCTCTTTCAATTCCACAGCCTTTTCAAGGTATTGGATCAGCACCTGAGTAGCTGAACAGAAGACAGAGTGACTGAGAAGATAGGAGAGAAAAGGGAGCAATCCAGGAGGAGGAAATCAGAGCAACTGGGGGGACAAAATAGGCTGGAGACAGACAGACACATGCACAAACACTCAAGTCGAATCCAGCAAAACAGATCCTCTCCAATTTGCATTATTTTCTCACAGGTTTCCCACCATCAGGTCACAGATCATATCTACCTCCATTGACTTTCCAGTACTGCCATGGTACAAAAACATAGAGCCACATAATTTTTGTAAGAGATCCTCTCAAAACCACAACCAAATCATTAGTCACGTGTGTACACAGATGTGCTGGTTCTGTTGTCACACACTGTAAAAACCAAGAGGACCCATGCCTTGGATCAATGTTTTTGTAGTACTGGAATTCACCAGATGTGCAACGTTTACTATAAAGCTTACAGGGGTAGCCTGTAATTTGATGTATTTTGAGGGGACCCCATGTACAGTGGTACCTTGGTTTGCAACCGTTTTGGATTACAACCACGTCAAACCTGGAAGTGTGCATCCCTTTTTTTGGATTACAACCCATTTTTGGAGACCCCATTGGCAAAAGCGTGCCTTGGGTTACAACCTGTTTTGGTTTACAGCCAGACCTCTGGAACGGATTATGGTTGTAAACCAAGGTACCACTGTACAATCATACACATTCAATCCATTCTACTTTACCCGTAATTCCAAGAGCAAGAGAGCACCTTTTATTTTGTTCATCTGTGAAGGGGGGGGACACTGACTGCTGGGGTGGGGTGAAGAAGAAAAGCAACCAGAGGGGATGGTGCCCACAGTATATTTTGAATGTGTCCATGGGCCAAAAGGAGGTTAGCAGCTCCTGGTGTAGACAAGAGTGAGCTAGGTAGACCTGTGGTCTGACTCTACATAAGCCAGTTTAACTACAGTGCAAAAGTAGCCCTCCTGGTTTAATGAGTTAAGGTCTCTCAAATTAGATGGCAGGCTAGGAGACACAAAATTCATAGGGTTTTTTTGTGTGTGGGGGGTGGAGACTAGGGCAGCTTTGGCAGTTTCAACTTTCAAACTAGTTTAAATCTTCAACTCTATGGAACTCTGGGAACAAGTACTCCTGTGACTGAACAAAGTTGTTGCTTTTTGTTGTTGCTAAGACCAGAGTTCATATTTTTGCTGCTAAAGAAGAGCCTTGAAGAAAGAGGCATTTTAACTATAGGTTGATGGTTACATCATAAGGTTTCTGGACAAAGGATCTTGTTGTGGAAAATGGCGCTGAGATTCCTTTCCCACACTTTACAGTAGGCTAGTGTCCAGCTCGAGAGGCCAAGTTCATGCAAGCAGCAGAGCTTTGGGTAGTTAGTCAGCGCTGGGTATTCAGAGCTCGGCATTCACAGTACCGTTCCTGAAGGAATTGGCTTGGCCCCCTGCGTGGACTCTTCCTGGGATTGACAATACCCTTTTCCTCCTCAGGGGAGCTGAGAATCACTGGCCTGCTGCCCAGCCTCTCTGTGTCAGAGGGGGAGACTGCTCAGCTTCAATGTGTTGTGACAGGCAACAATGTGAACATAAGATGGTCAAGGTAAAAAAAGGAAAAACTGAGCTGCAGAATTTACCTTCCTTTCCTTTCCCCTTCAATTCCAGTGAGCAAAAACTTGCATTACCACAGCAATGGTGAATCCAGGTTTACTTTAGTCTTCAAGCCCAACTCAGCTGTTGAGAATGTGGTCTCTGTTCATGTAGGTTTGTTAAAACACTTGTGTGCCTGCCTGTGTTTCCTTCCACTGGGGTCTGCAGTAGGCGAGAGGCCTCTCTCTTTCAAAGTGCAAAACGAAGGCATTTCTTTCTGCTCAGGAATGGAGTTCCGGTGAGAGCCGATGGCCATCATGTCCAGACGTCCCAGGATGGAAGCCTATTCATATATAATGTGCAGACGAGTGATGAGGGGTCCTACACCTGCAATGCCTACAGTGGCAGTAATTCTGTCAGTGCTAGTACAGAGCTGAAACTTATCCGGAAGAGGCCAGAAGGTATGTATGCTCTACAGTCTTTCCAGCTAAGCCTCCACAATTGTAGAGTTCCATTCTGAACACTATGAACACATGCTAGCCTCTCTTAGGCCTCAGGTAAATGCATCTCCCAGTAGGATCGGGTTCCCTTTGGAGCAGACTTGTGGGGTTCTTAATTTACATTTCAGATGCCTGTCCTGTTTAATTTTCTCCTTTAAACACAACTGCCCTGTGTTTTACCACTATTTTTCTGCTTTACGTTAAGCAATAACTAGTATGGCTGAAACTGAATTTTCATGTTCAGTAGCAGCAGCCCTGTGCCATACCACTTGCTAGGAGGCCAAAGTAAGAGATAACACTGTCATCCTTAATGCCCTGAAGCTTTTGACCTTAGACCAGCATGAGCATTCACAATGCACACAATGGCACCAGTAGGAAGTGAATTATGCTGCATTCCCATTGGGGCGGGGAATAGGACCAGTAGGAAATGACTACCTTGTTCTACTTCTTTATAAAGTAGGAACTAAAGTATAACTATATTTCTTGGGGTTTGGGTCAAATAGGACAGTAAACATGTTTAGTAGCTGGCGAAAAATGTTGTTTGTACATTAACAAATGAGCTTGTACGTGGCAAACTATAGACCTGCCCCAAACCACTGTGTTAAATGGGACTCATTTGTTGAATCATGCCCATAGTTCCCCCTCAGTGGAAACCCTGCACAAAGGCTTCCACTAGCTCAATGGCCTTCTCCCCCCCCCCCGGTGCACCCCTAAATTTGGCTCCAGAGGGGGTGTTGGGAGAACACCCAGAGTAGCAAATGGAAGCATCTCTTTAGGTTCAGCAATTTTAGTGCTACAGGGGTGGTATTCAACTTACATTTTAGATAGTGCAATGGCCTTGAGTAATCAACTTAGTTGATTACCACCATATACCACTAAAATTGCCAAACCTTATTTTGAAAATGAAACAAAATGTATAGAAGTGGAGGAGGAAAAAATACAAGGTCAAGTTCATTCAGTTTCAGTTATTAAAAGCTAAGGGCTGGACTAAATTCAACCTGCCCTTATAGTAGGTAACAACTGCTTGGTGATTCTCAGACTGAAGCACTTACATACCACAGCTTTCCAAACTGTGTGTCATGACACATTAGTGTGTCGGCTGCAGTGTGTAGGTGTCACACGAACACTCCCTGTGCTCTTCCTGGGGCTGGAAAGGGGTTAGTTTAACCTCCAGTTTGATAGTAAAACTGAATTACTGTGTCGCAAAATGATGCATGCCTAAAAAGTGTGTCACCAACATGAAAAGTTTGGAAATCTCTGGCCTAGGGGATAGTTTCTTACTAAAAATGGCAACTGCTAAGAACATGAGAGATCAAACAGAGCTTATTGCTCATTTCTGCCTTTGAATATCTCCTAAGCTATGGATTCTTATCACATTTGTTCAAGGTGCAGAACACAGAATGTACTCTAGCCTATAGTGCAGGAAGTAAATTCTTCTGTAGTCTTAAAGATGATTGTATGAAACAAACTGTGTTCAAGTCCTCTTCTCTCTTCCTTCTCCTGCAGTACCTGCACGCCTCCCTATGGACCCAAGCAGGGAATGTGTTGACCAACCACACCTTGCCAACTGTGACCTGATTATACAGGCTCAACTCTGCAATAATGAGTATTACTCTAGCTTCTGCTGTGCCAGCTGTTCTCACCACCAGGGCTGAACCTCATTTTCCCCTAATGTGGTCCTGCTCCAGAAGAAGGAAGTTTATGATCTGCAGTCCTGATTGCTTGAGAAATCCCATATTTGTTTACTCAAGCACACACTTACACACACTGGGAAGTGGAAATAGGTAGCAGTAGCCAAATTTCTACCTTTCTTAAGCTTTCTGTGTTGTTTTGCAACACAAACACTGATTGTCTAACAGCTGGCTGACCTACCCATTCAAGGAAATAACAAGGGACTGTTTTTCTAACATAGTTTAACAAGCAATATGGACAAGAGTCAAAAAGCAAGGAAGAAAGGTTCCTTCAGGCTGATTAATGATAACAAGCAGCACTCACCTTTAAAGTAGACTAAAACACAAAAATAAATTACAGAAAGCCACTGAGCTCACATGTCTGTGGAAAGTTGGCAGGTTGACCGTCAGTCTTTCCCATATGGTTATCACAAGTGTCCTACAATCACTCAACCCTTTCCAACTTTCAAGAGTCGCAATTGGACCAAGTGGATCTGCTTCACTACAGATACAGACAGCTGTAATGAAGAGGCCTTGGCAGCATGCAAACAATGCTTAGTATTAGAGCTGCAAGGGAGTTGCTGAAATGAAGAACTATAGGAATTTGGATTGGGTCTTGCACTTCCGATACCCCTGAGAAAATAAGGCTGCAATTCTGTAGCCATTTTCCTGGGAATAAGCCCCTCTGAACACGGGGGGGGGGGCTTAATTCCAAGTAAATATGCACAGGGTTGTACTCCAAGTCTCCCGAAGAACAACATTAAGAATCTGTTGTGAAGTTCTGGGATTCTTCATGCATATCAGTGCCAGAGTATATGGGGTATCTCCTATGTGTAGCTAGCCAGGGCTCTGTTTCTTCTCAGAAAAATTACTCTTAGATCACAACGTGAATGTGTAACATCTAAGGATAACCACTGATGCCAAGAAAGGTCATGTTGGGTAAGGGAAGCTTTTACGTCCAGGCCACAAAGCAGTCAACTTTATTGATCTCTAGAAATTGCTACTGCAGTATAAACAAATTATGTAAACAAGGATGGGATCCTAAACCACGGGCAGAAGGGGGGGAAAACCCTGTACGTTCCATATCCCAGTAATCTGGGCAAGTCACTTGGTTGTTGTGAGAACCCAAAAGTAAAAAGTCTACATGTCATGTGGAAGGAATGGGTTCTTCATTAGTTCTTAATCATAGTTCTTAATCAGAGGAAAAATTATGCCTACAAGTTGGAACTTTAATAGCAACAATATACATCAATTTCCTTTCCAAAGCCTTTAACAGGAAGCGCATGTATACTTTTCTACATTGACATTCAGTTCAACCCACTACTACCAGATGTACTTATAAGGTAAAGCCATGATTTACCACCCAGTAGTCCTCTTTGATAACCTTTAGGGACACCTTTTCGTTAGTCTTATTTTGTGTTATTTCAGTAGACTGCAAACAAGCACAGTGGCCTACAGTGCAACAGTCCTGGAATAAATTCAAAGCCTATGGTTCCCAAACTCTCCACGTCCAAGAACCACTTAGTTTCTTGATGGCTCATTTTATGATTTTTCTGCCTGCTGTAGCAACTGTAATACACCAAGCTAGATGCAGTATGATTTTTCATTGTATATTGATTTTTAAATTTTATTTCCTGCTTATTGTGTTTTATTGTATTACAATTTGACTTCTGCCATACAATAAAATGCAATATAAAATAAAATAAAAAGAACACAATGAAAAATCAGTATGAATATTTACTGTGGTAGATGTGCCACCTCTCCTCTTAAACCACAGACACACTGCAGGCCACCTGAATGAAGCTTGTGGACCACCAGTGGTCTGCAGACCACAATTTGGGAACCACTATTCTAGGCTATGGCAGGCTACACGAATGGCTTCTAGCTTAAGACTGCTCCTGTGCTCTGCTAAAGCTGTACTGAACTTAAAAGGAGAAAAAGGCAGCCTTGTTGGGTTTATGCAGCTGTCATATCCCTCCTTGTTCAGGCTGACCCCGGGGGGCAGCCTGCAGTAAGTTTTCCACCGAGGAGTTACCCACGTGCAAACTGTAACACAGTTTATGGGGACACTCAGCATGAACAACTTTCACATTCTATCTTCTATAGTCTAAGAGCATCTTGGCTGATAAAATGTCAACTTTCCCTCATCCAATACTTTCATGGAAGAAACGTTTTAATGCACCACCACCACTTGCTCTTGAAATGGCCTGCATTTTCCCATTTGCAAAGCACATGAATGCACATGGTAAATCACAGTTCCAGGATCCCTGTATTATGACCAACTGCAATAACATCTGCCTTAAAGCCTGCTTGCATGGAGATCCCACACAGCCAAGCACCAGAACTATGTTCTTTCAAGACCCTAGGATGGAAAGAATTATGCGCAAAACTACCCACACATAAAAGGGTCCATAGACTCTTCCAGGTTTATAGGAAAACCCAAGTCTAGCCACAAACCATAACTCCAATATGTCACTCAATGGCGCAGTTTTGCAGGAAAACCTAATGAAGCAGCCCTCAGATCTACTGATAGGTTTTCTTAATACAACAGCATTTGAATACAACAAGCATTTAGTGTGACAACTGACACCATACTGGGCTTGGGGATAGATAAACTATATGGGTAGCTTCTCTTTCCAAAACACCCAGATATCTAATTTCAGAAATACTGGAATGAGCAGCATCCATGAAAGGATGCACCAATTGGGATCATCAACACCACACACACTAACATATTACCAGCAATCACAATTCTGCAAGTGCATTTGTATAGCCAAACTGCTACCTACCACCCATGCAAAAGAGGTGGAACTTGTTCAGGGGAACTATGCAAAAGAGCAGAAGTCTTTTAAGAAAAACCCTAAAGGGAGCAAAACCCACCCAGACAGCCCAGTGTGGACCGAGCATATTCTGCAATCATGGAATGCTAATAGAGCAGAATGTGTGGGGATGTGCAAGAGAATGAATACTAGACTTGAGTAACCTAGAGTGCAACATACCTGACAGCACAACCCTATACATCTCTAAGAAGCATATCCACTGAGTTCTTACTCCCAGGTAAATAGGTTTACAATTGAAGCCTGTACCGGGCAGGAGTGCTCCACACTGCAACTTGCATTTTTTCAGGTCGCACTATTTTTCAGTTTTCAAATAGCTGAAGGCAGATATAAAAGAACCAAACTGTTGTGAGCTTCAGGGCTATGAACAGTTAAAAATCGGCCATTGTAGAAGAGTGAAAGAAAAATGCATTGGCATTTTATCCCAGAGATTAGTGTTCATAAGTCAGCCTTTGTTCTCAGCATCATCTGACTACCCAATGGGAACAGCTCCACTTAAGACTGTTGAGAACATGGATCCATTGCTCCTCTAAAAAAGCAGCATCTACAACACAGGCAATGTTTAGATGACAGAAACTATATGATCAATGCATATTGCCTGCCACTGAACAGCTGAGTGCTATGGGAACAATTATGTCACAAGTTTTTTTCCCCCCAACTTGAAAACAAAAGTGCAAGCGAACTCAGTGCTTGCATATTTTCAATGCAGCAAGGATATGATAGTTTAGATTTCCTTGCAACGGTTTGTATTCAGAATTTGTTTCCTGTGGAAGAGGGAAGGCACACTCAAAAGATTTACCATATAAAAACCAGGCAAGGAATTATATATTTATCCAATCTAAAATTGAAAAAAGAATCCTATGTAATTCACAGGAATTTTATAGATCTGAAACAATGAAAATACAATTCTCAGGAAAGACACAATCTGGGATTTAGCAGCGCAATGCTCCATCTGCACCACAATGGATGGTAATATTGATACAGATGCACAGGCACCCTGTATTTGCAGCTTTAAAAACATAGGGGGGGCATTCCAGGTCTGGCTTCTCACAGCAAGGAAATGGAATCAGCTCTGTATTAATGCTTTATAAAATGATGACACAGGTTCCTGAAATGGCAGAACGTGTAGTTTTGCTATGATTTTTAAAAATGCTGAAGGAGTACGCCAATGTTTGATTTTAACAGCTGGGTAGCATATATAGCTGAGGGAATCGCTTTTTGGAATGTGTTCCTAAAATGCTGAGGAGTTGCGTCCAAATTCATGTACAGTTAGCAACTGCCTATTTACTGTGCAAACTTGCAAAAGCACCTTATGGAAATCCTTGCCTTATTACTTGAGGCTTTGTGCAAAAGTTCTATGGTTAACAACAGATTGTGTAGTTGGTGGCAGCTTTGTTAAGAATGTGTTTACACTTTCAGAACTCATGACTAGAATAAGAGAAAGAGGCGGGATGGATTTGTACATAGGAGCAATAGGGTCTATTCCAAATTCTCATAACCAAGCATGTATTTACATTTGATGCAGTTATATTTTAGTATAGGGACTCATGCTTTTTCTTACTTTTTTACTGAATCTTGCAAAGTCAAAATAGCCTAATCATCAACTGTTTTCTAGTGACAATTGTGTAGTCAGGCAGAGTCCTGAATTATGGATGATGCCCGTTATCACAGACCATGCCAAATCATTTTCATGCTGCAGCAACAAACAGCTCTATCCCTGCAAAGGGATCAGTTCTGGAATGACAGGAATATGAATGATAAAGCTGCATAGGAAGCACAGAATGCTCTCCAGGGTTACCTCTGAGTAGAGTGCGGTAACAACCACTAAACAAAAAAGAGATTGCCATATAGTTTGGGATCAGAAGCAGGTACATAAAGAACCATATTTCTCAAACGCAACGCACAGAAACCTAGTGACTGCTCGCAGCATTCAGGAACTCCAAATAAAGCAAGAGCAAACCAAGTGTTCAAAAGTCTAAGTTCTAATTTTAAAGTAATCAATTTCATATGGAAATGCGAATGGAAGTGGCAGCCTGCTACATCAGGCATGCGCCAGATGAATTCAAATTCAAGGAAGTACAGACGCTGCAGGAAAAGGACAAGGAAACCTGCTCAAAAAGCCACATTATCTACTACCAACATTTATTTCTGTTAAAGCAGATTATAAATCAGTACAAATATATAACTTACGTTTGCTTGTAAGGCCAAGTTTTACGAGTAAAATTAAAAATGAGATGGATTTTCATGATTTGCTGAAGGAAGAACATGGAATAGCTGCAGTCTAGCCACAAGCTTTCACATAGAACAGTGGGGAAAAGCTTTTTTAAAAAAATAAAAAATAAAATCTAAACTCTATTCAATGCACATAAAATGGGTTCCTAAGTAGACCTGATTGTAGATATGATTACAGTCAACTTACCACAGTAGTGTTAAAACAGATTCAAGACAAGGAAACTGCAGCAGTATATGAAAAAACCTATATGTACTCCAATATGATCTAGTTTGAATTCTTTTTAAAAAAAGATAGAATTTACCCATTGTTTTTAAACCAAGACAATACTGCTCTTTATACTACTCTACTGTGATTTTTTTTGAATTGGTCATGATTCATGATTGTTGTTGCAATATGCTACTTACAATGATAGGACAAGAACAAGCTAATAACTCTGCTCCCCATTCTACTCTCATATTACTGACCGTAAGAATCAGTGATAAATCAATCTTATGTACAATTTTACATCCAACCCCCTTTTATACCTTTGGCAAGATTACTTACAACTCATTCCGCTTTTATTACCTAGAACTATTTAAAATAATCTAAAATGCATAAAAATAAAGATTTTGGCTTTATTTTATATATAATAATTATTGTGTTACTCAAAATGGAAGCTCATCCTTTTCCACAGACGGCATATGCCAAGCAGCTCTCACTTCTTCCCGTTCCCCGGCTGAGCTTGTATCCCCCTGGCTGCTCCTCCCTCTTTCCCCCTGCGCAGAGGAATGGCTCGCTCACAGGAAGGTAGACAGACACCTCCTGGAGATAGTGGCGACTAATTTGCTTCTCATCTTACGAGGTCTTCTGAAGTTCTGTGCGAGGAAAGGGCTTCAGGGCTCATTTCCCTTCTTCAGCCCTTTTGAGGTTTCCTTTGCCATTGAAGCTCCCAAGCAGGAACGCAAGCGGCCCAGGGACATTTCCTAGATTTCCCAATAGTTGTGTGGTGGTTGGGGCTTGGAGCGTCTCCCCCCACCCCACCCCAATTGTTCCCTCTCTGTATGCCCACTGATTCCATGGGGACACCAGCAATGGCGCATATGCTGCTCACTCGTCCCCTCTGCCCCCTTTCACCCAATCCAATTCCAACACACATACATACAGACAGACTTAAGCACAAAGCCACGGGACTGCTTAAAGTTCAATCTCAAAGGTCTTCTGCAATTCGCTCGAGAAAGGGTTAGTCGGAGATGGGTTGCTGCGCTGCTTCGATTTGCTTTCCAGCGCCGCCCATTGCGCTTCAAAGGGATCAACCTGCTGGGCAGCTGCAGGCGGCAGTACATGCTTGTCCTCTGTGGGCCACTTGGCAGCGTCCACACCGTTGAAAGCAGCCGACCCGTTGAGCTGCTGGGGAGGAGGTTTGAAAAAAGGACTGGCAGTAGCACTGTTAGTTT